GATATAATTCAGGAACATGGTTATGTCTAAATAATTTCCTATACGATCGCAATTGGTATTGCGAGAAACACATTTTTTGGTGGAATAATCCATCCCTAATCCATATTCGTAAGCAGGCCAGAATGCCCGAGTTGCAGGGTAAAATAAACCAGTAAATAAAAAAAAACTGAAATTGAACTGAGGAGGCTTTTACTCGATGAAAATCCATTTATCGAAATAAATAAGAACTAAAAGTTCAGATTTTCACGAAATTAAATATTATGACATGACCATTGTTTCGACAACACCGTGTCTTTATCAAATGTTAAAGTGTTAGTTCTTATTTAAAAAAAAAAACCTTTTAACATAATGTCAACAAAAAAGAACATATAAAAACTAAAAATGTAAAAAATAGCGTCACAATGACATAAGAGTGAAAGAAGTACAAAAAGTCCGTATTAAAAAGAGGTCCAGAGCGTTTGATGCACCTCGAGACGCGATTTTAATTGTGAAAAGAAAAACCCAGTAAAACTGAGGTTACAATTCAGTTTGCTGGTTGCTTCAAAATGTACGATACTGGAAAACGCAAACTACGAGGAGCTCCATTAAGTTTTTCGTGAAAAACGCTAATACACTCCGAATTGCTCTTTTGTCATTAAAAGATGCGGCAAAAATTAAAAAAAAATAGGATAATATTAAATTCATGAAAGAAAAAATTCTTAGAACGAATCAATTTTGGAGATACGTTTTAACTTTGGAATTATTATTTATTATTATAATTATATCGTTCCGCTCCATTAACCACGCCACTACCGCGGCAACTGCCGGACGTTTATTGAAATCACTCTTAAATTTTGCACTTTACACGCACTCACCTATAAAATCAGGAAATGCCGAATGATATATGTTCAAAGTCCGCGCACCAAAATCACACATCGCCAATCCAAAATCCGGGACGATGACGTATAAGTTATTTTATTTTCCGCATAATTTTTTCGCCGAAAGAGATATATACAGCGTGTGCGCGAAATCAATAGTCTACAGAAATTACAATATAGGGTTTCAAGAATTATTCTGTTTATATTCAAACTGCAGGGCTCTGTGCTCAACGTTTGTTAAACAACTGCAGGTTTACACGTTATAAATATATACACGTTCCAAAAATAATTTTTATTTAGATAACGCTAGTACTTGTTTTAATCAATATAATATTTTTTATATTATTATGTAATTGCAATTACTTTTCAAGTTTTTTTTTTAATTTGAAAACTATACAGGGTTTTCACTTAAAACTCCGCACGCCAATAAGTCCAAAACGAAAAGAAATATTTAATTTATGTAAAAAGTAGTCAAAGTGTGGGGTCAAGTAGATATTTCCTAAAGTTTAAAAAATTCGACGCCTGCAAAGAGCTGGGCGTCGCGACGCGTCGAAAAATTATTCGATTGCAGAGACTTTGGAAATACGCGCATACAAAAGTACATATTATTTAAAAACTTTTTTGTTATTTACTCAAACTTATTTACTTTACCCGTTTCTAAGTTATACCGATTTAAAGTAAACATTTCTTGATTAATAAAAAATGTGATTAACGCTTATTTTTACAAGTATGCCATGAATGTTAGTTATTATGGCAACCATTGTTATCGCAGTTGTTTTAAGTGCAATTACAAACGTAAGTTGTTATTGCTGTATCAAAAAATTGTCACATTTTGTCACAAGAAATATCCAAATTTGTTCGGTTTAAAAAAAACTAAGAATTATTATGTGAAAATGGTGCAAGTTAGCAATGAGGAAAAAGTAGACATGTTACTGGTGTTTGGAGAATGCAGATGCAATTGTAGAGAAGCAAAAAGAGTTTAGGCACGGCGTTATCCGCATAGAAGAGTCCCCGATGCAAAAACCTTTTCAAGTTTATGTAAAAACTTAAGAGAATATGGCAGCTTCATAAAACCTAAAAGAGATAAGAACAGGACGGTTACAAATGATGAAAATACTGCTGCTGTAATTCAGCAGGTTGATAATAACCCCAAGATATCCCTATCAGAGATAAAAGAAAATACCGGTGTTACCATAAGTTCTTCGTGGAGAATTCTACATAGAAACTCTTTTTACCCGTACAAAAGTAAACTAGTTCATAAACTAGAACCAGGCGATTATGCTAGAAGAATGTATTTCTTAGCAACATTGTCCGATTTGTATAGCCAAGATGCAAATATTCTCTCGAAAATTTTATGGAGCGACGAAAGTCGATTTCAAAATAATGGAATCGTTAATAGACACAACTGTCGTTTTTGGTCCAAAAACCATCCTCGTTGGATTACAGAAAGAGGTAACCAACGAATTTTTAGTATCAATGTTTGGTGCGGCATATTAAATGGATTCCTTATTGGACCTTACTTTTACGAAGGAACTTTAAATGCAGATCGCTATTTAAGATTTCTTCAAACTACACTTCCGGAACTATTAGAAGAAGTGCCTCTTGACACTAGAATGAATATGTGGCTACAGCAGGATGGAACGCCTGCACATAATGCCCAAATAGTAACGAGATATTTGAACCGAGAATATCCCAATAGATGGTTTGGTACTAATGGACCAGTAAGGTCCATTAGTACCAAAAACGTTATCTATGAAGAACCTATCACAACTGCAATAACAATGGTTGCCATAGTAACTAACATTCATGGCATACTTGTAAAAATAAGCGTTAATCACATTTTTTATTAATCAAGAAATGTTTACTTTAAATCGGTATAACTTAGAAACGGGTAAAGTAAATAAGTTTGAGTAAATAACAAAAAAGTTTTTAAATAATATGTACTTTTGTATGCGCGTATTTCCAAAATCTCTCCAATCAAATAATTTTTCGACGCGTCGCGACGCCCAGCTCTTTGCAGGCGTCGAATTTTTTAAACTTTAGGAAATATCTACTTGACCCCACACTTTGACTACTTTTTACATAAATTAAATATTTCTTTTCGTTTTGGAGTTATTGGCGTGCGGAGTTTTAAGTGAAAAACCCTGTATAAAACAAACTATTGTAATTTAATAATACATAATTATTATATTTTGTTATTTGCTGGTATTGTTTTCTTTACCTTGTGTTGAAAAAAAAAAGGCTAGCGAAGTGCTAAATAAAATGATTATAATTGTTACTTTATTTTTACACTTTGCATATGTTTTGATCGCGAGAAACTGTTTTCCTTAGTAATTTTGTGTTATTCTCGTTTTTTTTTGACAGATTGAGACTTGTTAACATAAGCCAAAAGTGGGTATAAATAAATAATATAATAATTATTTATAAAAAGGTTTTCTCACCGAACTCTCGCGGCTGATAAATAACCCTTGCATTTTCATCGATAATGTCAGCAAGTAACTGTTGTTATTGTTACAACGAAGCAGGCCTTGATTATAATAGAAAACTTTACAGGAAGACCTGAAGGCATTCGCCTAGTTGTTTAATAATAATTATATTATAAGTAATGTGTTCTTGAAAACTGCAGCGACTCTGAACCGCAAAAAATGATTTTGCGCGTTATCCACTGTCTTATGTTAATTCCAGTATTAATTAATAGTTTTTATGTTAAAGCGTATTCGCTCTCAATGGCCAAAAAAGCTTAACCTACGTATACAAAGTTTTCGCACCTTACTTTCGGCGTCAGCGTTGTTTGGCCATTTCTGCAAAATTTTCTTAACAAATGCGAAATTTACAAAATGTAATACCCGATTTCGTGAGGATAATATCCAAATGTATCTTGAAAACAAGTTATAAATAAATGTAGTCAATTGTTGATTCTTTGCCATAACATGGTTAAATTTAATCTGGATTAATTTTTAAAAAATTTGGACAGACATGTTTTTGTGAAATTCACAAATATTTACTTGAAAGAAAGATCAAAAATATTTGAATTTAAGTACGGGATGTTTCATTACAAAAAAAATAAGCCTGTAAACTTTCTTCAAATTTTCGTCCAAAAAAATATTAAGGTTCATAAATTAACACAATACCATATATATTTAGATACACTTTTTCTAGCACACCCTCTAACTGTGCTCAACTATGGTACGAAGTGAGTTGAAGCAAAAAATGTGTAGGGGTGAGTTTTTTAGGTTTTTGAGAACTCGAAATTGAAAAATAATCACCGCGTCCAATATTTTGTTTTTTTTTAATAAATACTTTTTTATCCCAGGTACCTGTGTCGGTTGCGGAATTTTTAATCTAGTTGTCGCTCTTCCAAATGTTTTTGTCACGGGTACCCACACTTCGATAAAGGTCACGCACCGCACACGTCTGTGGTGCCGCATATACCGCCGACGTATGGGAAGGTATCGATCCAACTGACTAGCTCGATGGTACCTGTGTCGGATTTTCGCCGGTACCAACAACACCGGTTTGACCGACTCTGGTACCGTCGTGGGTTGATGCGTGTGTGTACGGGCCGCGGCTCAAGACACGATTTTTCAGGAAAGCGAAGTGGTCCTCGTTTCCCAAGTCAGTTTCGCAATACTTAATTGCCGTTATTTTCTTACCTCGCCTCACTATCATATATACTATACGCGAAAAACTCGTAAACTTTGTTTACGCGCCATGGCTATTTCTTTAATTACGTTCTTTTAACACACGCATTACCCGCCGATAACGCTCGAATTATTTGCGCTTGCCGGCAAATTTGTTTGCGTTTCCAAACAATTTTTCCGTTGAAACATATGCAACCGAGCTTGCATTGATTCGATCGTTCGCCCATGGAGCGCAGCGCGTTTTAACAGTAATCTGCTTGTTCTAACTTTTGCAACCGTCCGTCAGATGGCTCGCCAACTTGTGCACTTTAGCGTCTCAAGAAGAACCGTTTGCTTTTTTTCTCATTCCGCATTATCAAGAAGGGCATTTTAGGATGTTTTTGGCCGATACTCGGCCAGGGAGATGTTTCCAATTTTGCGCAATGTTGTACCGCCGCCGCTTAAGTTTCGTGAACGTGATATCGGGAACGTATTTCTTTGATTGCGTCGGTATAATCCCAGAAACCGTCACGTATAAAACGAAGAGAGGTGACAAGGAACGGGTGTTTTCTTAACGGGACGTATTTTTTGACTGCTACGTCCTTTGAACGACCTTTGATAAATCAGTCAGGCCTGGAGTGTCAGTGCGGGTGATTTTAGTGTGTAATTTTTCGATAAAAAAAAGTAAGTACACCGCTTGTTTTGAATATAGCTGGTCGGAATAAAGAATTGACTATATGCCAGTGCAATTTTGGTAGAAAAACGGTTAACTAACGGGAATTTATTTGTCCCAATTTTTTGGACGTCATATAATCGAAAATGTTAAATAGGGGTTGCGATTCGCGCGTTTAAATTGCAGTAAGATTTAACACTTGAAAAATGCAGAATTTAACGAAATTATAAGTTTTTTATGAATTCATTTTTGCGCACAAAATCTTGATTTAATTCCGTATTTGAAATATTTAGGCATTTAATGAAAACTCATTTTTTGTTATATGTTAAATTGTTTTTTTTGTTCTCACGTTGATCGTTGTCATTTTATCTAAGAACTTTCTCCAACTATATTTTAACCTACGATTGGCAATATTCCAACCAGATTAAAATTTTCAATGTCGAAATAGATTTTTATAAAGTGCCAATCTTGTAATTAATTGCATGTCGGTGCGATTAATATTAATAGGTGAATATCATTAACCCTGAGTAAAATTTTTCGTTCTGTCTTGAGAAGAATGTGCAATTTATAGTGCGCGCCCCTAGATTTATTGCCGTCGCTCCTTTAAAAAAATGGTTATAATACATTTAGTCAGTGAATTAATGTCGATGGAGTTTCTTGCGGTTTCGCACTTTGAACCGAAACCCGATAACAAGCAGAATTAACGAGAAAATAATAGAATACTGCGGAATGGTATTTTCGATAAGATAAGTCGATTGTTTTTCAAGAAAGTTTATTTTTTATTTTTGCTGACGTAATAAAACAACCACAGAAATAACAACAAACTATTTATCAGGAAGCCCCGCGCTTATGAACGATGTTTTCTATTTCTTACTTGAAAAAACAGTGATTTAGTGCGCCCTAACCTAAACAAGGTATTCCTTGCAGCCTCGCCGTCGTTCAACCCCCCAAAATGACAACCCACTGGAACTACCCCGACGCGGCGCTCCAAGACGAGCTGCGCAAAATCGCAAACGCAATCGTAGCGCCCGGCAAGGGTATATTGGCAGCTGACGAGTCCGTCGCTACGATGGGGAAGCGGCTCGCGGACATCGGCGTCGAAAACACAGAGGAGAACAGGCGCAAGTACCGGCAACTGCTGTTCACCACATGCAACACCGTGGGCGACTACATCTCGGGCGTCATTTTGTTCCACGAGACGCTCTATCAGAAAGCGGACGACGGTACTCCGTTCCCCGAGCTGCTTAAGCAAAAGGGCATCATTCCCGGCATCAAGGTCGATACCGGCGTCGTCCCGCTGTTTGGCAGCAACGACGAGTGCACCACACAAGGTTCGTAGTGGTCTGTGACTTTTCGCATCACCGTTTTGGGTTCTGGGGTTATGTCACAAGTCGCAGCCCCTTACCGGTTGAGCTTTTGTATATCAACACCCCCTACATCTGTATAGTTCCCAAAACTATGTAGTGTCACTACCGACATTTCGGTAACCATTGCAAATTGCAAATTTAACGATAGCTTCTCTGCTTCTTCCCATCCTTCTGGCCCCAGCGAGATCTATGGGAGGTAAACTTTTTATGCTGTCGCCATCAAGGTGTATATTGACTGCATCATATAATTATAGACGACCGACAGTACCAGCAACTACAAAAAGCTAACACTCTTACAGGAGGCGCCTATATTCTTTTACCAGTATTTCTCTTTCTTTGCCATGTTCTATTTAATATAGCTTTAAGCCAACGATGCTGAAAGCATCACGTACATATACATTACGTACATATAGACACTACTACAGCCTATAAAAAGCTATCAATTTTAAAGAAGGCACCTATATTTTTTTACGAATATTTCTCTTTCTCTGCTTGTGTTCTGCTTAATACAGCAACGTCATAAGGCTATTAAAGTTGTTCTCAACGGTTTTTGGAGTTTTCCTTATGGGGATTACTAAAAGAAATAAAAAATAAAAATAAACTGTGTCTGTATATATATATATATATATATATATATATATATATATATATATATATATATATATATATATATATATATATATATATATATATATATATATATATATATATACAAAAACGTAACCTCAACTCACTGAACACCGCGCATAGGGATCTTCCGATACCATTAAAGTATCGATACCTACTCATTTCGATAGTAGTCAAATCTTTTTTCGATACTACTCAAATAAATACTCCTAAAATGTCAATACTTACTCATATCGATACTTTTAGCACCTTATTATTTTTTTTATTTATTTTAAGGAAACTAACAATGAACGTTGAAAGACAATAATTAAAACAAAATTAAGAAGGAAAAGAAAACTTTTATTATGAAGGTTTGCGTCACGTTAAGCACGTACTTTAAACAAAAAACTCCATGATAACATTGGAATAATAAGCCGATGATTACAATAAATAAAATTATTCGTAAGCAATCTCTTGTATGTTTGACAATGAAAAAAAGTAAAGCGCCGACGTCTGTCTCGCTTTTGGCTCGGGCTCGGTCGAGTGAAGTCGGATGAGTTCGGCTTGGCTGGCGCGAGACAACGCGTCACCATAGATCAGATAGAGATTGTTTGTCTGATGCCTTCGGTTTTTTTTTTTTTAAATGGTGAGGCTGATACGATTTGATTCCAAGTATTTTTTTTTCGATACCGAGTAAGTATCGCAAGATTGATTTGATGTTATAAATACTAGTATCGGAATATCCCAAGCCGCGCACAACTGTCAATTGGTGTTTCTGCTTCATGTGGGGCACTGTGTTGGGGGAGTCTCGATTTGCAACACTACGTAGTTCTGGGGGCCACGCTTTAAGTGCCATTTTCGATTAGGTCTCGACGATTTGGGCAAACGTTGCGCTCAATACAAAAAGGACGGGTGCCATTTCGCCAAATGGCGCTGCGTGTTGAAAATCAACGAGCACACGCCAAGCTACCAGTCACTGATCGAGAACGCGAACGTTTTGGCGCGGTACGCGTCCATTTGCCAGGCGAACCGCATCGTGCCGATCGTGGAACCCGAGGTGCTTCCTGACGGCGCCCACAATCTGGAACGCGCGCAAAAAGTCACCGAAACAGTGCTCGCTTTTGTCTACAAGGCGCTGCAAGACCACAATGTGTTCCTCGAGGGCACTTTGCTGAAACCGAACATGGTGACTAGCGGTCAGTCGCACGCTGTGAAATTCAGCCCGGAGGACGTCGCCAAAGCGACTGTGACCGCGTTGCAGCGAACGGTACCAGCCGCCGTGCCCGGGGTTACGTTTTTGTCCGGAGGTCAGTCCGAGGAAGAGGCTTCAGTCAATTTGGACGCAATTAATAAGTGAGAGTGGGGGATAGTTGGGGTGTTTGAGGTTAACTCGATACATTTTCCTAGGTTTCCGGGTAAGAAACCATGGGCCCTGACCTTCAGCTACGGACGCGCTTTACAAGCATCGGTGCTTCGTGCCTGGCAGGGAAAAGACGCAAATGTCAAGGCTGGGCAGGACGAGTTGTTGAAGCGGGCCAAGGTAGGTTCTGCTTTTTGGTCTTCTGAACGCTGGTATTTTATCAAATGCTTTCTTTTAGGCGAATAGCGAAGCTTCTCTCGGCAAATATGCTGCCGGAAGCGTGGTTGGGGCCGCCGCTGGGGCGGGTTTGTTTATCAAAGATCACGCCTATTAGGCAATAATTTTATCCATTTTATGCATGTAAATTTAGACGTGTAATGTAGACGCAAAAATTATTCAGTGTTAAACGCGATTTTTACTTTGGATTCCATGGAAATTATATAAAATATTTTTATTTATAAGGCGACGTGCCGAATTTGTTGTCGTTTTCAAAAAACTTATTTAAATTGAATATATAATAAATGTGTATTTAAAAATCTTTATTTTGTACCCCCCTCAAATAACCCTGTTAGACTGATATATATAGCACATAACCTATAATGACCAAAGTTGAAAAGTATCACTTGGTCCACCTATGCGCACAGTGGGGGTTTGTACAGACGTAATAGAGTCTCATTTCTTCTTCTGCTCTCCTCGTTTGCGCTTGGAAAAACACAGCCTCCCTATGATTACATTCCGGGCAGTGGTGGTCCTCAGTCCTCGGTAGGGTAGGATCCGATATCACGTCGGGTACGATATGAGTCAATTCACTTAAAAAATGAAACACGTGCAAAGAAAACCAGAGCTGGAACCATAAAACGCGTTCTTACTCGATTTCGTGCATAATTTTGTTGACGTAGATGCACTTGGAATCGGCGTGTTGTTTGTAGTCGCAATTTCGGCACGCGTACAGGAGAATTTTGTTTTCTTTGTCTTCTTTAGGATACAACATGTTGTTGCTAAAAAAACCCTATCCAAGACGGTTTAAAGAGTTCTGGGTTGCTTACCATTCCTGACAGAATCTAATGCCTACGAATCCCGGACCCTCGCTGTGGGAATCGTAACCGGTCGGTCGCGACATTTCCAGACTCGATAATCGAAAAATGTAGCTTAAAACGCAACCGAAACGCATTCAAGCAATCACTCTACCTAACATCGTTTGTTTTTATTATGTTCGCAACCACGGACCACACAAAATGATGAAATGTTCTTCTTTATGTTCGCTGTTACGGAAGCTCACTATAACCATGCGCTGTGATTCTGTGGTGAGCATTGCACATGGCGCTCCTGACAGAATCCGTTGTAATCGTCCCCAAAAAATTTGAAATCAGTTTCCACTGAGTGGATTTAGTGTTTTTAGTGTTCGTGAACGTTTTAACGTTAAAATAACCGTTGGCCCTTTCGTTTTTTTTCTGTTCTCTCCGGTATGGTGGCCGGATGGACCCGGATGGTCAGCGGGGGAGGCCTTTTTTTGCATTCGGTTAAAGACTTTTGAAATTGTTCCATTTGTTGTTTCTGTTTCCCTCGGAGGGTGATGGATCTGCCCAGGTCCTTTTAATTAATTCACCCTCCATGTTTAAAGTAAATGTTGAACAATATTCCTAAGTGGCTGAGTGATCATAGTACTCTTGGCCAATAGAAGTACTGGATGGGAGGAGGGAAGGAACCATGCTCTGTCAGCTAGGGATGAATAGAAAAACAAGAGGTATAACCTTAAATCTCGTGAATATAATATGAACCTTCTTCCCAAATCGAAAGAGCAGTTCAGCCACAAAGAATACTGGGACGACTTCTTCAGGAACCTCGCCGATAAGACATTCGAATGGTACGGAGAATACCCCGAGCTCTCGGGTCATTTGCACAAATACATTAAACCTCGCGACGACATCCTCGTTGTAGGATGCGGTAACTCGACTCTCGGCAAAGATTTGTACGACGTCGGCCACCATAGTGTGACTAATATCGATATTTCCAAAGTGGCTATAAGGCAGATGCAGTCGCAGGTCGAGAAAAACAGGCCTGGCCTTCGTTACATCCATATGGATGCGTTGCAGATGGACTTTGTCGACGAGCAGTTTAGTGTCGTGTTAGACAAGGGTACTCTCGACGCGTTAATGCCAGACGAGGGGGTCGAAACAGACGAAAAAATTGAACGGTACTTTGGGGAAATTTTAAGAGTATTACGAGTCGGCGGGCGATATGTGTGTGTGTCATTGTTACAGAGACACATTTTGAAAAAACTATTGGCGTATTTTCCGTCGCATAACTGCATGTTCCGGGCTGTCAGGTGCTTCGAACCTGAGCAAAAATCCGCAGAAAACGGCGAGAACGCTATGCCCGTCTTTCTAGTTGTGTGTTCGAAATTTAAAACGCTACCGCGTCACATTTTGGAAGTGAATCTCGGCGACGCCCAGCGAAGTTTAACGAAACTCGAAAGCGCCAGTAAAGTGATTGATCAAATAACGGATGTTCAAAGAGCTTCTTTCTTGTGTTCGCGCTTGAAAAACACCTCTCTGGCGGTAGAAGAGGAAATATCGTTCGAACTGCATCAACCCGGGTGCGACGAGACGCGATACACGATCTACGTCGTGGATATCCCGTGGCAACCTAAAAATGCCTCTTACGCGGCTTTCATTGCACCAGTTGGACGCGAGGCGGAGTGGTTGTTTTCGACCAAGACCGGCCGAAAACAATTGGCTACCGCAACCAACCACAACCGTCTCGCCGTCGTAACCACTCATCGCGGTCAAGAATACACGTCACTAGAGGGCGTCCAGGTCGAGTTGGCGGAAGTGATACGCAACTTGGCCCCGTCGACGTTCAAAGGGCGCACAATACCTTTCCTATCTCTGGGATCCGACGTAGGTAAACGCGAAATCAAATACCGGAACAGTTCAAAATGTTCAGGCGATTACGTCATAGAAGATGTCGTCACCGAAACGGGCGACCAGTATCGACGACTTTATTACCTCAACAATCAGCTGGTAATTCAGTCGGAAGCGAAATTAAAGCAGGTGAAAAATCGGAAAGGAAAACCGGCGCAAGTCGTCGACTTGTGCCGCCTGACGTGCAGACATCACGTTTACATGAGTGTGGCGGCTTACGCGGCGTGCCATGCGCAACCCAACCCCAAAATCGCAGTGTTGGGTTTGGGCGGCGGAGGATTATGTTCATTCCTGCGTAAATTCCTGCCGCGGGCTTCTATAGCAGGGGTAGAAATTGACGATGACATGGTGAAGATTGCGTCGCGTTGGTTCGGGTTCGCGCAGGATGACAAGTTGCGCGCGCACGTCCGAGACGCCCTCGAGTATATACGGGAACTGTCCGAGACTAAAGTACGTCTCGACGCCATTTTGTGCGACGTCGACTGCAAGGACGCCAGCGTAGGGATGAGTTGTCCGCCTGCGGAGTTTCTCGTTCCGCGAGTACTAAAGATGGCGGCCGAGATCGTTTCGGACGGCGGCTTGTTCATAATTAACGTAGTGTTGCGCGATCTGACGCTGAGGCCGGGGATTCTGCGCAGTTTAAAGGCTTGTTTCGCCAACACGGCTGCTTACAAATTAGATGAGGATCTTAACGAAATTTTCGTTTGCTTTAATGGAGATGTAGATGAGGAGTTCACGGGGAAACTGAAGCAAGGTTGCGAGGAGCTGCGAAAATTTTTCATTAGGAATAAGGTCGAAGAATGCGATGTCGATATCGCGGAATACTTGAATAATTTAAGAATAAACGTCTAACCTGACAAACTGTTCGTTTTTCTTTGAATTAATACGCTATTTATGTAATCGATAACTTGACGTAACGTGAGACTAGGTTCAAGACATTTAAAGCAACTAAAAGAGACCTGGGTGATGGCCGTACGTTATAGAAAACCGATTTGATTGAAATGACGACGCAGCAATCGTAATGTTGACGAAATATCTTTATTTTCAAATTCGACGAACAGAATAAAAAAATCTAGACATAATAATATCTCCCTTACGTTCTATATATTAATATCTTTACAATAATCATTCTCTCTTAATATCTCTGTTGATTGTTCACAGTTGATTTTATTAATTAAATTACGTTTGGTTAAAATTATATTTCATATAGTATATATATAATTTTAATATGACTATCTAATGGAAATAAAGGATTTTGTTCGATTTCGACCGGGGCAAAGGTGACGCGCAGTTTGCTTCTGCGACCTCGCACCCGCCAATAATCGAACAAAACTTTCGGAAACCTTTTTTACCCGTATGTGCGCGCTTGAAAGTGCAATTCATCATCTAGACTTTGCTGGAATATAGTTAACTATGTCGTATAGTTTAAATATGACAGTTCTTATTTCTCTTTCAAACTAATATTATATTACGATCGATATAGGTTTCGGCTCTGTTAACCTAAAACGACAACGGACCGAACGGGGCCTACTTTTTTTCGAGATTATGCAACGATAGCGAGTATAACCTATAATTACACCTTTCGCAGTGACACCATCAAATGACAAGCACGTCAAAAGCGCAACATTTCAACTGTCCCGAAAATCGATAATTTGATAAGGTCTGGGCAATGTATTCATTGCTTCCACTTTGATTATCACGAATTGGAATTTTGATTTGAAAGTTGGTTCCTCTTCAAAAATTATGTGACTCGTTAGCAAGACAGATCAAAAACATAATTAAATAGCATCTAAATGTACGCTACAAAATTTTCTCTCTGATTTTTCTACATTTGACATAAATATGATCTATAAACGCGTATCAAATAACCGCCTCCAGATATGAAACCAACTTTTTCTTCTCCGTTGGCTTCTTTTCAATAACTGTCACAATGTAAAACACAACCAGAGACCATAGAAATATAACCTACAAAATTTTCTCCTGATTTAAATACTAAGCTTATAGCTTTTAGTTAAATGTAAAATATATAAAAATTAAATATGTAACAAATAACCAACTTAAAATATATTATCAATTTTTCAAAACCGTGCGCTTTTCGATTGTTTTCTGTGGGCGACCGATCCTTGCGTATACGTAAACAGAGGAAGAGAATGTAGAATGAAGCGCTGTTGACTGTTTAAAGTTGTAACCAAAATGTATCGTATAATTTGCAACAAATTCAAGTTGCACTTATCCGCGTGCCTTCGCTTTACTACTACTTTCCCGGGTTTATTCTTGCGTCTTACGTAGCCTACCTCAAAACGTTACCCGCTACCCTCGACGATAGTAACAGATAAAAATTTATGCCTACATATAACGGTTACGCTATCTACCGTAAAAATGTATCCTAACATTGTCGAAAAAAACTATCGCGCGTATGAGAAACTAAATGGAAACGACTTTCCAAATGGCATAAAATCATTTAAACGGAACTAGTCGCATGATGCGAAGTGCAATGGCTATCCGACGAACAAATCGACAAAGGTACCGGACTGTACTGCATCGCATTGTAATCGTTACAGTTTAAGTACAGACGGGAACTCGTCCTATCGCATTCCGGACAGGAACGTTTCTTCTTCTTGTTACGTCGGAACAAGTCGTACGCGCATCTGTGACGAAAAAAATTATTACCGACCACAGAAATAGAAACGGTGATGGATGGAGAAAAGCTCATAATTATTTATTTGTTAATCTCCTGTCTCAAAACCAAACCGCTCTCAAACCAATAGGAACGTAAATGGTCACCTGTAAAAATGTCAATGCCGTGTTTATATAGTATATTCAAACATGTGATAGCATTTTTTAATTGTTTCACAGTCTTGACATATTATAAACATGCTTTCGAAACATCATGGCTGTGCGCATCATCTGCTCCGTACCATGCACTTCGTAGCCTACAATGTCATTACTCTGCTTCGTATTTTTTATTTTATTCTAAAATGGCGAATTGTTTCTCTATCGTGCTCCTGCCACTACGGAACTTTCGCAAAATTGATGTAATTTTATTGTGCATGCACCATGTATAATGTGTCTTTCACTTCTCACCGAACTTGAAAGTTACTGCAAACTTTGATAAATTGAAAAATTTGTACTGGTAATTGCGATTTAAGATGATATTTTTTCAAATATCTCGCGCACCCTGTATGATAAACGAAAACTGCAACTCTCCCTCTCGACGCAGCTTACGATACTGTTCAAATCAAATTATCCGATCTATGGCAGTTTTTCATTTATCGTCAATAATTTACCCACAAGAACGGAAAATTTTAGGATCTTTTAGATTGTTTGCCCATAGACGACACACCCTGTACATAGAAGTTATAGCCCTGAATCTGCCACGCTTTCGGGTATATAAATTTTTTCAATAGGGTAAATGGATATCGGAAAAATACTTATTGTTGTAATAGTAAATGACGTCATCGCGTCTAGATTGAGGACAAGAAATGGTGATTTTCATTTGGTTTTTTTCAAATATGCCGAACATCGTATGTGATAGACGAAAACCGTAAATTCAAAAATTCAAGCTCTTGATGCGGTCTATACTTCTGTTTCAAATAATTAACCATTTTTTAAAAGAGTTTTGATTTACAGTTAATAATTTATTATGAAAATGAACAATTTTCAGGATCTTTTCTATTTTTGTCCATAATTGACAAACCCTGGATATAATCGAAAAACTGCCTAAAATAGGGTTACCGTCCCGGATCGCCTGCGTCTTTTGGTTCAAGAATTTTGCCGATCGGGTTAACAGGTTTCGCGAATGAAAGCCCAAAATGACGATAAATTTTTTTTCGATTTTTTAAAAAAAATATTCACCGATGTTCGATTGCCCCTAGCTCTTACAACCTGAATGAGTGATGGACTTCTAACATCCTGCCAAATTTAAAGTTAATAGCTGCAAATTTCGGGCACTTGCTGCATTTTTCAGCATAACGCGATATATCGCGAACACCCTGTATAATATGCGAAAATCTTAAATATGAGAGCTTTAGATCTCTCTACGGCCTAAGCGCCCGCGTAAAAGAAATTGGAATTTTCAGTTTTTTGCAAATACCGACACACTCGGTATTTTTTTTTGAAAATGATCAGAAATAGAGATTTATGGCCATTGACATTTCGCATCCTCTGATTCAAGAATTTTTTTGATCCGATAAACCGTTTTCGAAAAACATTTTTTTTTTATTTTTGAAAAAATTCGATTTTTTCATTTTGAAAAATACTTTTTCACAATTTCAATACGTCCCGTCAGTGGCCCAGACTCGATACGTTTGCAAAATTTCATATCGATAGCTTCAAATTTCGGACGGTTATCGTATATCATAGCGACTTCCGAAAAACTGACGAAAATCTCGAAAACAGATGGACGCCAATTTCCGATAGCGGTCATTTCATACAAGCTTATGTGTTTCGTTGCCTGTTTAAAATGAGAATATTTTCAGCGTCCTAGCACCGACGGTTTCGAAGTTATTCAAGTTTTTATGGAGCGTCGACAGAGAACGCAGAACAGACAAAATCAAAACAGGACCTACCGTTTACGAGATAGTAGTTCCGTTGCCAAGCGGAAAATTCGATTGCGTCGACTTTCAAGTTAAATTTATCTTGATAGGAAAATTATATATAAAAAAAAATATTGATGAACCTTTAAAAATTTATGCAATAACGTTCCTTTTGCCGTAACCACTGTTTGCAGTTACTAAGCATTGTAAAAAAATATTTTAAGTAAAGTCAAATCTAACCTCAGGTTAAGTTTTTCATCTTCTTATTCGTACCAGCTTGCGGGCCAGGCGAATTCAATACAAATGCTTATTCACCGAGGCCCAAAGGTAGAGGAGGAGATGTGATCAGGTGACGAGGTGCAGTATACTTACCTCGCGTGTAATATGTGAGCGCATGGGAGCGCCTCGAGTGAGTCGGCGTCCAAACCGTAAGGGGACCCGCATCCCGCGCACTGCATGTCAAGGTCCTGCTGCAACCTCAAAGCGACCCGTTCGTGGTGTAGTTTTTGGTCCTCGTCGCCGAGGGCGTGGTAGATTTTCGAGAGGCGTAACCTGACCGCTCGGACGAGGAGCTTCGCACCCACCGAACCGGCCACTTCGAGTAATCGCGTGTTAAACTCCAGCGGTCTGCAGTTGCATATTTTGTGCTGCAGTCTCAGCGCTTCGAGGCATCTCGCGGCCCCGTCCATCGACTCCATTTGTATGACCCTGTCGCCCATGGCCGCAGCCGAGCCCATCGCCGTTTCGTACTGACGGAACGCTTTCTGAAATAAACGACGTCCTGCCCTGCCTATGCCAATAGTACATGAAGTCGTAAAGCAACTGCTCAACAAAATTTTAAAAAGGACCGTTCAATATGCGCATGCGCGAGATTCAAAAATTTGGTTTTTAACCAATGGCAGCTCTGATTGTAAATTCTGACGTCAGACCCATAAGGCCTTGCGGCTTCCAACAATCAACATGGCCGCTGACAGGTCGTCAATGTTTGGATGCTGCAATTTTGGGGCAGTATTTTCTCAAAATATGTCGAAAAAAAAAATTAAACTTTGCCGCAAGGAGGTAATCCCAGTCGAATACCATGGTCGGTACTTTAACATACCGAGTGACAATTCGTTGACAGACAACTGTCCAGAACCCTCAGACAATGAAGACTGTGATGTACACATATGAAGTTGCAATTAGTTACTACTATTTGTTTAATTATAGTCTTTTTTAAGCTTAAATACATATTCTAGAATCTGCATTGTTCATAAAAACCATTACGAACCTATGAAGTTGAAATTAATTACTAGTTTAGTATTTGTTTAAGTTAGGTATAGGCTTTTTTAATTTAAAATACGTATTCTAAAAACCACATTGTTTATAAAAATCATTATAAACTAATCTGACGCAGAATAATTGATTCTATAATCAGTACAAAAGTACTATCTGTGGACTTGGTCACTTTCTCTTGTATACTGACGGTATATTAGTTGATAAAAAAATGACGCGTGGTGTTGCGCAACAAACAAAAAAGTGCGAGAAATTATCATATCTCAGTACCGCAGAGGTAAATCAATGCAAAAAAAGTCAAATGACTTGAGTATTGCATAATCAACAGTCGGGGATATTATAAAAAAGTATGGAGAGACAGCTAGTGTTAGCGTTCGTGGTAAAAGTTCATGCCGACCCCGTAAAATCACTGAAAGAGATCGTCGTATTCTGGTCAAGATTTGTGAAACTAGCAGACGAAGCGTCTTACGACAAATTCAAGCCCGATGGAATCACGAGGCAATGTCTCCAGGGAATGTTGTGGACAATGGATGCATAAGTCTGGTTTGAGTTTTTATAAGGTAAGTTTACAATATTCTATGATCTACTTTTGTTAAAGGCAAAGAAGAAACCATTGTTAACGTCTATTCAAAAGAAAAAACGTTTGGATTGGGCAAAATCTAAAATATCCTGGACTACGGAGACGTGGAGTAACGTTAGCTTCAGCGACGAATCAAAATTTGACGTGTGTAGGCGATTTTCAAAAAAGGGTGATTCATACAAAATCAGAAGCCTTTCACAAAGACTGTCTAAAGCGCACTGTAAAATTTCCCCAGGGTGTTATGATATGGGGGTGTATGAGTGGTAAAGGGGTTGGCAACTACGAGTTCATTGATGGTACTGTAAATGCAGAAAAATACCAACAAATTTTATCAAGAAGTTCCATCAATGAACTTTTGGAAATGAAAATTTTATATTTCGACAAGTCCTGCCATACAGCGAACAAAACAAAAAAGTGGTTTGGGGACCATAATATGAAAGTTTTATCGTGACCATCAAGAAACTTTGTGGCATCGGATGAAAAAGACTTTGCGTAACAATTTATTTGTCAGCAAATTCGGTATGTTTTTGATATTTTGTTATTCAATTTATGTGAAATAAAAAGTAATTCATTACGATAGCACTTTTGGTATAAAAACAAGTGCGTGATTTAGTTTTTCAATCGAAAAGGCAAAAATATCTCATAACAATATGTGTAAAACGATACGTACGTTGATGTCTAGTTTTTTCCTGTAGATGTCGCCCATGATCCTGATGCTTCGCGCGTACGTCGCTTGGTCCCCCGACACCAGCGCCAGCCTGGTCGCTTCCTGCCCAAACAAGATGCGCTTATAAAGGCGAACATTTCTGCGTAAATCTTACCGAGCAGTAGTCGTGCGCGTCGCCCAGCTCGCCCTGTTTGCGCAACGCGGACGCCATTTGCAGGAGCGCGGCCCTGAAACTCGCCGCGAGGTCACGGACGTAAAGAAAGAAACGTAAAATCGTCGTACCTGTGGTGCCTCGAGTTTAAATCTCCCAACTGCAACGACCTCGACAGATCGTACGCTTTCGACGCGTACTTGGCGCTTTTGTCGGCGTCCTGCAACCTGCTGAACAATTCCGACAAACCAACGTACACCTGCAACGAACAACGCACAGTGTATTAACGCTAGATAAGCATTTTTTTCGGTTATATAAATTAAGGTATATACTAATTAACTCTCAAAATCTACATAAAAGTTGTTGCAAAAGTTAATCTATATATTTATTTTTTTGTAATAATTATAATTACAATATGACAAACCAGTGTCCCATTTTTTACCACTACTGTACCAATTAAGACACTTTTTTATGTAGTTTTTTTTGTAAAGTTATCAATAATTTTGAGAACCAAATTCTTATCTTGGGCTAAAAGATTCTCACCCCAATGATATGTATAGTATAATCAAAAAGTTTTCTAGAGTATAAAGGGATTTTAAAATTTCGAATTAGTCGATACGCCTAATCGTAGCGGATTTTTCTGTAAAAATACAAATTGATGTAGAACGGGAAGGGGCGCGTGGTGGCAAAAGTTTTTTGATTTTTTGAAGGAAAATAAACTAGACAAGAACATGGTGTTAATATCTAGCAGTGACAAATAGTCGCAAAAAAGTTCTACTCTGCTATACAGCAATGCTGCCGCATTTAGACTTTAATTTTCAATGTACACTTAACTGAGCGGCATAAAAACTCTTTTTCACTAAATATCATAAATATATGTAAAACGTACACTACATACCTCCAGAAATATGCGGCATTTTTTGAATGTTCTAAAACTCACAACACATTATTTCACAGAGCAATTAATACTGCAAACAAAACTCCGTGCTATTGTTAATTAGGTATCTCTAAAGGATGCTAAATGGTTAAAAAATAAATTTGAGTCATTAAGAAATTTGAATTTTGGAACTTCAGATTTGCAGTTTCCTATCGCAGTGCGACGGCGTTATTGTCCGCGCCAATTAGATGGCGGCACGGCCTTTGTGGTGTTGGCCAGCTCTCGAAAGAAAATATTTTTTTGACAGACCACAACTGGACGAAAAATAGCAAGCGGGCTAAATGTGGCAACCTGTAACTCCAATGCAGGATCGTGCACGGCTTGTGCAATTCTGTGCGCGTGCTGAAAACTGTCCAACGCCTTGTTGAAACCCGCCAGTTCTAGATAGACGGAACCCACGGTGAGGTGCACGTGACCAGCAGTTGCGCACAATTCGCACTCGTTGTAAAGCGAGTGACGGGCGTATGCCAGCGCTCTGCAACACGTGATGCGATGCGAAATCGTCTACGACATCCGAGGAATTTCGGTGCCCCAGCTTCGCACTGGCGTATAATGGTCCACCGTTAATCTTTTTTCAATAGCGAAATAATACTCGAACCGCGTTTGCGCGAAGCTTGGGCATCGCCAGTACTTCGACGTCATCGTTACCTTTCGAGTCCGCCGAGCCTTTGGTGCGCGCGCGCCAAATTCAAATACGATTCGGCCCGCATATTCGGGCTGTCTAGCTCTTCCGATATGAACAACTGACGGTGGGCGTATTCCAGCGCGTCTCTGGAAAATGCGTCGTGATAAAATAGAACGGAATAGAAATTTGCGTCAATTCGACGACAATCATCGTGAAAGGTCAAAGGTCAACCTTTTAATAACGGTTAAGATCGTGCGATTTGGTCACTTGTGTTATACGAAAACATTACCCGTTCATCCCACATCCCGGGTACTGCTAAACAGCGGACAATATGACTACAACACTCTCTCACTCTTTGACTCCAAGAGTATCTGCGTATCTTTAATTGTTACACTCGATGTTTCCTACCATAAAGAGTAGAGAGGAGAATTTTCGCCTCTACAATGGGCGGAGAGTGAATGAAGGCCTCCAGTTGGGTAGGCTTAAAAAAAAACCTTTGGACGTGGTTTGCCGGGACACGACGGCCTAATATGGACGGAGCTAGCGCACACCGCCTTATGGGCTTTTAGTATTTTTGCTCTACTTGCTTCGTTCTAGCATTCTGCATTTATCTGAAAATCATTGTTGTTTTTGTAATACATTTGACCCATTGACTTTGTTTTGATAATCGACGATCCTTCTTGGTTATATTTTAAATTCTAATTATAAGTCATTGATACGAGGTTTTAAAGGGAACACCGACCGTTGTTGATTATGGAATGTTCTGGGTACAATTATATTGGGGTGTTCATGTGGTGTGAGAGTATAGTTAATCAGTTGATAAGACAAGTCTTGATGTTTGAAAGCTCTTTGCTTATTTGTATACTTTTGGGTTCCCTTTTTCCAGAACACGCCATATTTTTGCTGTGTTTGTTTGTTACATGAATTTACATTCAGGTAAAATTGTGGTCCTTAATAGAAAATAATTTTATACCTACCTGTGTTTAATACTCTTTGTTTTGGTATACTACTTAGTTTAAGTTTATTATTTCCTGTGTAATACAGCGTGTGTTGAATCGTGTGCGAATTATGCAAAATATGTGCGAGTCTAGCGTATCTCAGGAGATGCCCGCGCCCAAATGTGGAAAACATTATTTTATTGCGATTAAGCAAGTTATAAACAATGTTTATTTGACTCTCATTGAACGTGATGCCAGCAAGCAAGCATCTTCAGAAGAAACGGCCACATTGACGAAAATTCCAACATCAACTGTATGGAAAATTGTGAGCGAGGAAAAAAAGAAGCGATGCTGACGTTTTCTCGAGTGTAGACGAAAGTGATCAAGATACGAGGAACAAAGCGTGTCTACATTAGATATCTTAATTAGGAGGCTTGAAAAAGATGAAACCGGTGTTAAATGTGGCAGAACTACCTCATGGGTTTCAGATTTAAAAAAATTGACAAAAGGCAAGTTTTAATGGAATCTTTTAGAATTCCAAAATGGCGACTGGAATATCTAGAAAAAAATAGAATTTACAGAGAACAACAAAGGCCAATTACTTGGATGAAACCTGGTTCGAAACTTATGATACCCCGGAAAAGGGTTGGGTTGCCTCTGATAAGTGTAAAACAAACGCGCCATCAAAAAGAGGTAAAAGAATAACTATTTTGCATGCTAGCTCTAGCTAGCTAGGTTGGATTGATATATTATGTGAATAATTTTAAGTAAGTTAAGTAGGTAATAAAAATAATTTATAATTTTATTTTAGACTTAAACATAAATAATTAAATTCTAAGCGAAGTACGGACCTGTTCGGCCATATTTCATTCTTACAGCTTGCCCGGGTCTTTCCTTAATTCGTATCAGTTAGTCCTACCTATTACATCTAGGCATATTTATTAGACTACAATATTAATTTCATTTTACTCTAGACTAATAAGAAGAAGATAATAAGAATCCTTCAAAACTTTTAAAATATAAACATTTGATATCAAAACCATTGCGTATATAGACAAAATTCTCTCCTCAATTTCATCTTATTTTAAGAAAAAGCAAGTGAGGATTTGTTCTAACTTTTTGTATTGTACCTACATTCTAGTCATTTAAAATGCTTAGAGAACTTCAGATAATGACAATGGCAAAGCAAGGAACCATTGTTATCAGTGCCCACAACGCAAAATTAGCTGCTGCTCTCAACGTCCTCTGGTCTTCAGAGCGCACACATTTTTTTCAGCTTTTGTTAGGATTCGAACACGTGACCCGTTCGTTCGTATCGAAGCCCGTGGACCGCGACGTTCGTTTGTTCGGCTTTAAAAATAACTTATTCGGTTTTGGAGCTCTCGTCGCGAATTGATTGGACGAGCGAGCAGTTTTCGGGAAAACGAGATATGTATCGTTAGGTTTCGTCTTTCTGCCCTTCTTCCCACGGGAACTGTAAATATGATTACGGGGGCACGTAAGGGGTAATTTGGGGGTAAATTTACAAGGAAGTTCGTCGAGTCGTAATCAGCAGTCTCGTGACGCGCGACCTCGACGCCTTTTACGGGAATTAGATTCTCCTCGGCTAAAGGTAGCGCAAGACGTCGCGATCTAAATTGAATTCGCGTCTCCGTCGGAGTTTACGAAAAAAAAAAAATAAGAACGGCTAACATCTGACCCGTAGCTTTTAGGCAGAACTGGTTAATACCAGGTCTGTGGTTGTTGTGATTTGCTTTGCCATTGCTAACCGCGATTAGATTAACTGCATTCGGTATTTTCTTGCGACCGCTTGGATTGATCATTTATTACATCTAGATGTAGGGGAAGTAAAACTGTACCATTCGGCAATTAAAATCGGGGCGATCAATTTGTGAGGTTAGATACGAAACAAACGCTTTGATTGGTCGCATTCCGCGGACGTAGCAAAGCGCTCCCGATAGGTAGCGGTAGTGATTGGGAACATGTATGTAAAGGTATCTTACTTTTGTTTGGGTGTTGTTGATTTTGAGATTTAGACTTTTTCCAAGGTATATCTTATTCAGTGTTTGTGTGTAGGGCTGCTGATTTAACATGTGTTAATAAAGGGGAACGCATCTTTGGACTCTAGTACGTACTACTAGAAATTAGTAGAAACGGAAGTTATGGATGATTTGGTTGAATATTTGAGGTTAATGAAGGTGACAGGTGTACAATACCAAAAAATCCGAAGTATTCCGAAGACTGTAAGGAGTTATGAAGGGAATTTATCCTTAGAATATTATCGAGGCCTACATTTGTAAACTTATATTAGAATTGACCATATCTAGCACGTTTTGGAGCAGCGAGACGTGTGATATGTTTGGAAGAAGTGTTAGAAGAAGAGCTACCACACCTGGCAGTAGATATTGCAGATGGTATGGAAATGAGGAGGAAACAAATTGCAGATATGCTTCTATAACAAATAAAAATATTTTTTCGAATTTTTGCTCATTTTTTTTTGTAATTCACATAATAACTGTATTTCTTTCTTCCTGGATTTTCTTGCTCCTTTCAATGGCGTATCGGAAGAGGTTAATTTCTTGTATTCGAGCTTCTACTCTTTGACTTTTTTTCTTATAACAAGAACTGCTGTTGATGTTATTAGGTTCGGGAGTTTAACTGTTTTGTCCTCCCTATGTATTTCATCAACCTTGTGATAATATTCCTAGTAAATTCTAACCCCTTGCAGTTTTCCCTATATTGTGTTTGATGTTTGATGTAAATTTTTTTTAGGTTTCTCGATTTCCTATCCAATATTTCTTCGGTTTAGTGAAAATACATTCTGCAAATAACTTAAAATTGCATCTCTATTTCATGTGAGTGTGTTCAATACACCCTAACCAAATTCCTCTTTCAAAACCAAATTCTGCCAATATCGAACACTTCGCTACCGCTACGTAGCACAAAATAAATTCGCTACTAAAAATGGCGCTCACCACACAACAGGTTAGATTTGTAGCGCATGTGCCACCGGCCGTTTCCGCTACGGCTTTGTAAATTCAAATATCGAACACGCCCAAAATCGCAATCGCTACCGCTACGTATCGGGAACCCTTTGCTACGTCCGCTGAATGCGAGCATTGTAAGGTGTTATTTTTATTTTCTCCTTTTTTTAGTAACTTTTAAACCAAAGTGAACGAGGTGGTCAATGGTAAATTAGAATATAAATCTGAAATAACAAACACGAACATTGTCTTCCATAAGACTTGATAAAATATAGGGTGTTCCCTTTAAAACAAAATGAAATTCCAATTACTTTTCTGCCGACCACTATAACAGATAAACTATTTCAATCCCTTCCACTCATTTACATATATAAAATATAAATATATGCAGAAAGTGCGTTTTTATAATAGCAATACTTTCGTAATATTTTATTGTTACCTTTATTTTCGTATTTAAGATAAAAAACTTGAAACATTATATTTCCGGCATGATTGTAGCGTGATTAGTGTTGGAACTGGACAATTGATCGTGGTCGATTGACCGTCAGTTGTCCACTTCTGAATTGACTATTTAAAAAAAAATGTTTTGAAATAACATAACAATTGTAGAGTATTATCTATCATCATTTAATAATAATATATATTTTATAACAAATTATTATGCCCAATTTACCTATAATTTGGTTTCCAGAACGACGCGACACCGACATAATGCACAATATAAATAAATATAAATAAATAAGTTCAAGCCCAATATTTTTGAAGATAATTTGCAACTGTGGGCATCGTGCATCGTATATTTTTTAACTTTGTACGGACCTGCAGTTTTGGCACTATTTCAACGAGGAATGCGACCTTGCCAAGTTAAGGAATTTATAAGTTTGAGTTTAAAGTTTACGATTAGGAAGTGGTATTTACGAACCGGGCCTCCCATTGCCTTACGAACTTGTAGTTATTCGCGAAAATCAACCCGTTTACCTACGCCTTTCGATCGCTAGCTACGTTTGCGCTACGCAGCGCTGTTCAACGTGGCGTGAATTGTTTTGCGAATGTTCCGAACTTGCCTCGGCGTCGTCGTAGCGGCTTTCCACCCCGATAACCACGGTTTATAGAAATAGTTGACGCCTAATTGTGGCTTTTTTGTCCTCTCGTTCCTCGCCTATACTGATAGGCAGAAAGGAGATTAACGATTTTTTAAGGGCAAACGCCCTAGAAACTTTCCTTTTTGATTTTTTCATGACGAACGGTAAAGAAAAAGGCCCCCCCACGAGGTTAAGCTCGAAACTGCACACAATCGGTCTGGATACCATACCCATTTATTTTTTGTAGCTTTTTTACAGACGCACAGACCTGTATTTTCCCCAGTCCATGTACGCTTGGTACAGGTAACCCAAGAGTCTGAGTTTGTCTTCCCTTTTCCTGATTGATTTCAACGCGCTCTTCCATTTCCTCACCGCCTGCGTCTGCTTGTGCTGGTTGTACAATTTCAAACCTTGTTCCACCTAGAAGCGTTCCCTTTACAGGCTACTCACTACCCGGCCACCTACCAAACGCTAACCTACCTTTCTTTTGGCAATACTGTGGTGGATTTTGGTGCGGCAGGCCTGGAAACAGCCGAAGGTAAACACGGGCGGTCTAGGAGTTCTCACCTCTGTGTAGGTGTCGCGGTGGAGACTCGAATAAGAATCGTGCCATGGCCAGGCGTGGTCTATGCCGTCCAGGGGATGTCTGGATCCGTCGGGCGAGGATAGGAGTCTTGTGGCAGATAGCTGGTGACTCACTCCGCCGCCACCGGCGAAATTGTAATTGCTAACGGGCAAAGAGGTGGTTTTTGGTTTTTGGGTTAAAAGTGGTCCCAATCGTATGTTCCATGAAGTCGTTTTAAGTAAAAATTATTTCTTGGAGACGCGTGCCCCAGTGGATTTTCAGAGACGAATAAAAAATCTTTACGTACTTTGAGTGCGGCACAGTGTTGGTAGGTAGGATTCCTTTTTAGCTCATGCATCGCGAGTCGCCCTGTACATTGACGCAAATTTACCCGACGGCGGTATCAAAGCCACACCCCCACCACAACCTCGCCGTCATCATACATGAGAGTCACATCTTTGATGAAACTTGTTGCATTAAATACGAATAATTCGACTCACCTAAACTCTCGGGAATTAAGGGACTCCCACGACATCCTATATACCCGCATGGGCCTAAACCCAATCCATTTCGAATGTCACTCTAGCCACGAACGCCGACGACATAGTTTTAACTACCGCTAAACCGCCGTACCGTCTCGGTCATTTTTTTACACATGGACAATGTCGTCGATCTCAGGGCTTTTAAAACCGCCCCGGCGGAAACGACGTCGGGCGGCGCCCCCCCGCGAACGACATACCCGCATCGTGTAACCCGGTCACTGCCTAAACACACCCCTTTTTAGCGAATTATGTCTCGTTCTCAACCCTGTTCTTCTCATCTGGACCAGAGGGTAACGAGAGCAGCGCTTCGGACGAGATCGGCTGCGGTCGGGCGTGCGCGCTCGTTCCATGCCAGATCTCGCGACGATAAAGTTGGAGGCCCGTGCCTACCGCCCGACGAAGCTACCTCCACGGTTGGAAAAGATCGGTCATGTAGGGATATCTGCGGAAAAAAAAAAGAAATCGGCAAGTGTGATACTTTAAAACAAGTTGGTAAATAAATTTTACGAGTCAATCAGAAAGCACTATCATCAATCTGAATCGAAGGGTGCTTGGTTTGACATCGGATAGAATCGTGTTTTTCTTTGATATTTTTACGTTATGATGTTATTTTTACCTTTCACACAGACTTAATTAAACATTAACATACTTTTCATAACTTATCTCTAAAGGAATTTACTTATTACTTATTTTATGATTTTTTAAGGAAGAAAATATCCACACGAAGGTTCCATATATTGTAATAATTATTACATCGTATTATTTTTTTTAATTTACCAGCCCACATAGCAATCTTAGTATGGAACATGTCCTTCGAGATTTAACCTTAAGCCTTCAGCAGACTAAATATTTTTTCAATAGGTGATGTAAATATTGCGGAATAACTTTAGATTTCGGTAGATCTTTTTAGGAAATTTAAAACTGACAGAGAACAACGAAGCGCCGAAGAAAGTTCTAAAAAAAGGAAAATTATTATTATTTACATATCTTCTGGATCCCTCCTGCTGAAACAACTAAGAAATAGTATTACAGTAGTCAGTGGGAGTTTATTTGCTTGAAGAATTATTATTTTTAGTTTTTATAACATTTTGTTAGCTTTTAAACAACTGTATACTTTCATTAACGTACATTTAATTTATTAATTTTATATTTATAAGGCACAATAGCAATAAAACCTAATTTTAAACATATATATGATTCGTAATATTACTCATTAATTCGCCCAAAAACACAAAGAAAAGTGCTATAAACACATTGTCACATTTATTTTAAATCCTCTAAATATAATAAATTAAGGTTTATTCATCAAAAATAAGAAACTAAGCGATCACAATCATTCTCCAATGGCGCAGAGACAATGCTGAAATACGTATCTGGTGACCGGTCCAGTCGGGTGCGGGCCTCGAAACGTGGTTGTTGTTCAGGTGCAGCGCGTTCGATGGCGCTTCCGCGAAATCACCCGTTAAATAAATTTTAAAAAGGCGCCAATTGGGGTCAATCCTGACTAACTGGAAAGGTCTCGTTTGAGATCGCTTGTTCTATCATCGGCTAGCGAAATTTGGTCGTGGATGTGACAACGCCGTTTGACGCGCTTGCAATTGGTTTTCTAAACGAGGAATCGTGTATAAAGGCCGAATTAACTATATGTAGATGGAAAAATTAACTTTAGGATGCAGAAACACACTTTACGGACTGTTTAAGCATGTCGGGACCCATTTCCACAACACTCTTTATTGACACTTCCTAGTATGTACATACTAAATTGTGCCACGTATGTAAAAAGTAACTCTAATCTTTATATGCCCTCAAGAAACTCAGATAGTCAGTACAGTTTAAGACCGAATCTTAACATAAAAATACCTACACATCCACTGTCTCTTACAGCAGGATTTTCTTTCTTGTGATACCTTTTAATATGTATTCGTTGTTTGTTATTGTTTATATATTTGTTATTTATCTATCAGTATTACTTGTTATTATTATTATTATATATATATATATATATATATATATATATATATATATATATATATATATATATATATATATATATATATATATATGTCGGTCTAGAACGTTCTACGCCGTTTTCCGACACCTAACCTCCACTCTTCTCTATTTAACCATAGCTGGTCTGGTAATTCTCTTTCTATTAGTTCCTTTTCTATTCCCTCCTTCCAACTTTTTCTAGGCCTTCCCCTTTTATTTTTCCCTTGCGGTGTCCACAATAGTATTTGTTTCGGGATTCGGTTTTCGGGCATGCGCTGTACGTGTCCAAACCATATAAGTTGCTTTGTTTTTATGTCGTCTACTATTGTATGTTTTATTCCCATAATCTCTCTTATCTTTTTATTTGTTAATTTTTCTTTTTTTGATCTTCCAGCCGATCTCCTCCAGAAGTCCATCTCGGTTGCTAGTAACATATTTTCTGTTTTGTTCTTTAGCTGCCATACCTCACTTCCGTATGTGATGATACTTTTTATTATTGTATTATATATGGTTTTTTTATTAGTTTTGGATATACTTTGGTCCCACAAGATCCCATTCAGCATGGCTATTGCTTTTCTTCCTTGTATTATTCTTTCTTTTATTCCCTCATCTAATCTTCCGTCCTGCGTTATTTTTAGTCCTAGATATTTATACTCCTGGCAGTCTTTTATTAGGCGTCCGTCTTCCAATGTTATATTTCCAGATGTTCCTCCTACAGTCATACTTTCAGTTTTTGTGATGTTAACTTCTAATCCCCATTTTCCATACTCTTCTACTAACTTTCGTGCCATATATTCTAGATCATCATGATCTTGTGCTAAGAGTATTTGATCATCCGCAAAGAAAAGGGTATATAATGTTGTTTCATTTAATAGTGGGATTCCCATTCCTCTGCATTTGTGCATCCATTTTTGTAAGGCTTGTTGTAGGTATATTTTGAATAATACAGGAGACAGGCAGCATCCTTGTTTGAGGCCCTTTGTAATTGGTATGGGCTCAGAAAAAGTGTCCTGTATTTTGACTTTAGCTGTTATATCTTTATATAGATTTTTGACCGCTTTTATCGCATTTGAATTAATGTTCGTTTTTTCTAAAGCCTCCCATAGTTTCTCTAGAGGTATGCTGTCATAAGCCTTTTGAAGGTCTATGTAGAGGAGATGTACCTCCTGATCTTTGGCTGTTTTTTTCTCTAAAACCTGTGTTACTGTATACAAATGGTCTACTGTTGATCTCCCAGCTCTAAATCCCGCTTGTTCCTCTATTTCTATCTCCTTATATTCAGCTTCAATTTTCTTTTTCAATATTTTACCATATACTCTACTTAGTGTGCTCATTACTGCTAGTCCTCTATAGTTTGAGCATTATTATTAATTTACTAATTATACTAAGATAATTGTTTACTTTTACATTCGTATTATGCTGACAATATCCAACACTTGAAGTCTAATCGAAATAAAGTTATCTTTATCTTTATTTTAACGTTAGGAGCTCGCAAGTAATCATCGTGCGGTACCATTGGAAGAACCACCACGCCGGAGGCGTGGCGAATGCCGAAATATCGGCGTATCGTCAATATCGAGAGGAAAAAAACTCGGTCGTCCGTACGCCGGCGGTAGCGGACTCGTAAAAAAACTCAGTTTTTCATGTGGGACGTCGGCAATTGATTGGCCCGTGTTGTTCGGAATAGGCGGGTCCGGACCGTCGGTATTTTTAGGTTTTCAATTCGTATGGTACGATCCAATCGAGAAGGCTGTGGAAATTGAAACGACATAACATTAATCGACTACGTTGGTCTGTGATAGCGCGATCATTGAAACGGTACGGAATTTGGCACTTTCATATTCTGTTGCTCGTCCTTGTTTTTCACCGCTAATTATACTTGCCCATTTCCGTGTAAGGCGAGTTGATGTACTTAAATAATATTTTACAGTTTCAAAAGAAGAGAATCCTTTCTTTGAGGAATAACATAGAAGAAGAATCACAAATAAGAGGAGTCTGTTTTTATTAATTATGAAACTATAGTTGTTGTTTATGTAATAAATTTTAATCAGAAACAAAAACATATATGTCCGCAATTACCCTTAGCTCTACCGGATAGATATTCATCATTTTCTTCATCACATTTAAAATTTCTGAAATCTTTTTGTCGTTTTTCTTTAGTGTTTTTTGGTTTCTTATTTGTAGTTTGTATGATGGTGAAATTAATAGAATCTTTTTTTTCCTAATTGTTTTGTACGAGTAGGTTTTAGAGTTGGTACTTGCCCTACGTCACTAAGTGCTACTAAGGGAGATGGACAAGTTTGACTTGACAGACGTAGGTATTGTTTCATTTAAATCGTCAAAGTTAGCTTCATTATTGGGAAGTTGCAATATTTGCTGAGACAACCTGAGATTCATTTTGTTGCTTACTTTGGCTTGAATTATTGGTATCTGATTGTATCCGTTGTTGAAGAGGAGACATTGATGCAGAAATATTACTTTTAAAGCTGTTTTAAATATATCTTGATCCATTAGACAAATTCCAGCAGTATTTACGCAAAGTTCGTAATTCCCCTATTTATAGTACCCAGTAAGGGCAATGAGGTATACTGTGCGAGATAATTGGGTCAAGAGCGAATATTGGAAATTTTTTGTTTTTTGTTTAACATTGTTTGCTCTATACCTGAAAGGAGAACGCCCTGAGGTCTTCAAATATTTCGAGAAGTAAATAATTTTCTAAAAAATTAATAAATGATAAGGCTTTGTTTACGTGCGTTACGTGGTCATAAAAATCGCCATCACAATACCTTTATCCTAACCTTAATTTTTTTTTAGAAAGCAAATCCGCTGTGCGGTTATGTCTAAATATAATTTTCTTACCCCGTATTTACTGACTTTTTCGTCCTTTAGGACAGCACTTCGCCTCGTTTTATTCCAATCAATCATATCAGACTCGTTGTGATCAATCGGTCTGTCCGTCACAACCGTGATGTCCCAGTATAGCTTAAAGTTGTCGTTGTCGAACTGGTGACGGGGTGAAGACTCTCAAGAGCTCTGCGTGGCTGCAAATCAACTGGTGTTAGGTGTTTCCTAAGTGCTGCCCGTATCTGCCGGTTTAGTCTTTCAAGGTCCGTTTTTGACCCTGTCAGAATGCGTATGTTAGCAGAGGGATGGCCTAGATGTTTAAGGCGTTGATCAAATTCCTCGCCGTCAGCTGTGTCCTCAGAATCTTGGTCATTGTTATCATAAGCTCATTTTCAGACAGTTGCTTCTTTTCTCTTTATCGGATATCATACGTTTGCTATAAACCCTTTTCATCTCACCCTCGGTAACTCGGAAGTAAGCATTTCTAAGGGTAGTGTTCATATCTACTAGGGTAGCACCGGGACAAGCCTGATCCAGTCGTAGAGGATCAGAGTAAATACTTGTTTACACACCGATTGTTAGTCAGCGTCTTTATCAGCTTAAAGAACTTTCTTCATCATCTTCCTTTTCTGATTAATCGGTTCATCAGAAAGATTTTCTTTCTCGAGTCTCGGTTTTTTTCTTCTATATGAGGCGCCAAACGGTCAACGTCTAACAAAATTACCAAGTTAAAATTTTATATTTAAATGCAGTCGTTTGCAAACAAACTGTAATTAAAAAAGAAAAAAAAATCAAAATTCAACCGAGATTTGTGATCGAAGTTTCCGATGCAGAGCCATATTACAACTATTTTGATCGAAACTTTAAGGAAGGTAAGGAATGCAATCCAATCTAGAATGAATTGGAAGTTCTCGTAGCTGGTGTATAGAAATTCGAGAGCAAACATTAAACTGGAGGTATTATTTGATACTACTGCGGATTAACTGAAAGTAAGAACCTTTCACGGTGCTGAAAGAGTAATTGCACTGATGTGTCACTTTCTTTTGTAATTTAGATTGATTAACCTAATGCCTAATCAATCAATCAATAAATAATAACTAGAAGTTCAGATTTTCACGAAATTATATATTTTGACATGACATTGATGACATTTGATAAAGACACGGTGTTGTCGAAGCAATTGTCTTGTCAAAATATATAATTTCATGAAAATTTGAACTTTTAGTTCTTATTTATTTCGAGAATCCTTTGTAGTGTTAGTAGACAAAATAATAAGAACTGTGAAACAGTTCAAAACAAACATTTTATACCAAATCATTACTTACAGATTATATTTGACACACATAGAGATTAATTCATTAAATTAAACGATGGTATTTCAATAACATATAGCATAACACGCAATATATTATTTTCTTTTAGCGACCTGCTTGTGTAACTAATATCTTTTACGCCGTTTAGTAACTACTATTTTGTCTTAACCTCTCAATTCTTTTTTTTAATTTACTTTTCAATAATAATAATAATAATAATGAAGTTTATCTATCAATTCAGTTTACATAATAAAAAGTTTAAAAGAAGAATCATACAAAGTAAACTTAAATAACTTCGAGAAAAATCTACAAATTATCATCGATGTTCAATAAAACTAAAGAAACACCTTAACTTAAGAACTCATTGTTTTTATACGCTTGGAATCCTTTTTGCAAAATTAGCTGCAACGAAAAGTCACATTTTTAAATCTCTTCCTTCCTACATAGATACTTAAGTCGAAGCGGCTGATCCACATCGTGATCCCGCCCACCGCTCACATAAAGCCCGCCCCTGCTGCGCGAGGCAACAAAGACAGAAAGTAGAGCGACCGGGAGGGTCCCCTCCAAATTAAGAATTATTTTAAATTTTAGTCCGTGTCGAACTAGGTCGGGAAGTCAGCAGATCCTGCGGGATCCTGCGATTCTTTGTCGGCGACCCGAATTTTTTCGGCCTTCGCGGCGTCCGTGATGGATGGCTTTTACCGCGATCTCTACGAAAGTTACCCCCAAAAGTGCGCCTTTAAGCGAGAAACCGGAACGCGCGCGAACTACGTTACGAACAATGACGTTTTGAAGAAGGAACGGGAAAGTGACAGCGAAGATTCGACCAAAAATTCCAGGTTAATCAGATATAATTACAAAATTGAAATTAAAAAACTTAAAAAAATACACGGTAGCAATATGGGTCTAAATATCAACGAATTAATATTATACAATACGAGGTGTGTTCAAAAAGTAAGGTGACTTTTGCAATTGGGCTACGTACATTCGATCCTCGATATTTTTTTTGTTATGTTGGTACATATGTTAACAGTTTCAGCCAGTTTGCACGTTTACTTTTTTTTGTGAGAGAAGTGTCAAACGTGTTTTGTGTTCTTGGCGATTTACTGCTTTAAAAAAAATGACACGAATGAAACAAAGAATTGGCATACATTTTTCTGTAAAAAATTTTGAGCAAAAAAAATGTTCGTAAGTTTTATAAGCGTTTCTAAAATGGTCGAGAAGATGCCGATGACTAACCTCGCTCTGGACGCCCCAACACGTCAATAACCGTTAATTTTGAACAAACGGACCGTGGTCCTGATATGCTCAAAAAGATCATAACAGGTTACGGATCGTGGGTATTTGGATATGACCAGTCGTTGCAATGGAAGAACCCAGAATCGCCAAGACCGAAAAAAGCACGTGAAATTCGATCAAATGTCAAAGTTTTGCTTACTGTTTTCTTTCTCAAGAGTTCGTACCATAAGGTAGAATTTATTCACGAACTATCTGGCCAAAAACTAAATCACAATCATACCTCAGCCACCATATTCACCGGATGTGACTCCCTGAGATTTTTTCCTGTTCCCAAAATTCAAGAAACCCACGGCAGGACGGAGGTTCGAAACGATTGAGGAGAGTGCTTATCAGTAGTGCTTCGTGGATTGGAAAAAACGTTGACACAAGTGTATTTGGGGGGGGGGGGGGAGGATTTTTTTTGAAGAAGACAACATTAATTTTGATTAAAAAATAAAAAAAACTTAAAATTCGCCTTACTTCTTGAACACACCTCGTATAAAAATACCTAAATATAACGTATTTTTAAGTAAGTTAATAAAATATGTTTTTTGTTTAATTATAGCAACATTAATTTGCGAAAATTTTGTGTATGATGTGATGGATGGATGTGATGGAACGATGTGATGTATGCAACTTTAAATTAAAAGAAAAGCATTATGAAAAGTATAGTGACTTTTATATACATAAAACAATGGTTTCACTTCTACAAAATGCTTCTTAACATAGAAAAAACTATATATATAAATTTTACTTTTAGAAACGCATCGAACTTCACTCAGTGTATATCATCAATTCGCAAACTTAAATACAATACTTCTTACTGACTTTCAAATTATACAGGAAAAACAGATGGTAAGTACTTAGAAGTATATTTTGACCATAACTTGAATTAAATTAAAACAGGTTTCTGAAGTTTACAAAACGAAGAAGTTCTAAGAAGACTATTCAGAGAGTTTTTGTATCGCAGTGAAGAACTCTTTTATTCTAACAACATACTAAAAATTTCAGGCTGTGTATCTTTAAGCAACCCTGGAACTATCCTATCCCCAAATTATGAAAATAACATCAACAATTTTTTATCAACTTTTAGAAAATTTTACCTTTATGCGAATGTGCGGGTGTCCCAGCATTGGGTAAGGGCGTATTACGTGTAGAGAAACAAATAATCGGAGAAAATTGTTTTTCTTTTTAACTCGCTCTCTCAAAAGAAATAGGTGGAAATTATTTTTTTCTGCTCCCTTCTGTATATTATGCGACAAGTGCGGTAATTAGGCATGAATCATTTCCGTTTTCGTCTCCAACAATAAATGCCTATAGAGTTTTTATTTTTAGTAAAGTTAGCAAGCTAAATAATTACTTTAATTAATAATTAATAGCCCCACTTCAAAAATTCTCTAGCCATGCGTGATAAAACGACAATTTCTGAAACGTTCTTTAAAATTGCAAATCAAAAAATAAAGCTTTTCAAACGGTTATTTTTAAATTTTTATCGCAATTTCTTAAAAAATTGCCTTACTAAACTAGAACACATATTTTATTTTTGGTTGCCTGAGGACTGAACTTTTGGGTCTGTTCCAGATCGAAAATTGACACCGGCTACGTCAGCGCCGAAAGTTCCATCGACAGCGACGACGAAAAAGAACCAAGCCACGTCCTCGAACCCCAACATACAGGTCGGTATAGCTGAACACGTGCAAACTACTGCAAAAATGCTTTAATTTAGAAGCGCCGCATGCTTGCGAAGCCCGAACGAACCTACACCGGACAATAAATTTGCAGGATGTGCGTTGAACGGGCCGCGTAAATGTCTGGCGTGGGCCTGCAAGGCGTGCAAGAAGAAGACCGTCGCGATAGACAGGCGGAAAGCGGCCACTTTGAGGGAAAGAAGAAGACTCAGGAAAGTGAGTAGGCCTTGCATCGTTTCAACGCCTACCTTGGCGAGTTCTTCTAATTTTAATCATAGGAACATAACAGCTATATTAAAGCTTAAAAGATTTCTGGGAGTTGAGAAGTTTTGAAATTATTTTGACAGCGACTTTATAGTATTGCGTCATGCTCGAATATCTGTTTCCAGGTAAACGAGGCATTCGAACTTCTGAAGCGAAGAACTTGCAACAATCCGGGTCAAAGGTTGCCCAAAGTGGAGATACTGCGGAGCGCGATAGAATATATCGAGTACTTGGAGGAGATATTGCAAGGCTCGAAGGCGACGTACCACAGCGGCACTACGGCGAGGTTGAACTCTGGGACCAGCGACTGTGGGGTGAGTAATAAGTGACTAATCACAACTATGTATCATCTTAAAAGGCTGTTTTGTCACGAGAAATATGGCAGGTCCTAAGTTAACTTTATTATATAATATAGTTGCGCAATAGATATGTTGGTGGTGACATTTTTGCGTCACTTTTTCGTAACTGGAGATAAAAAGGCCCTTGCTACGCCTAATATCAATACCGCATCAATTTTTAACGTAGTAGGCCCAATGTATGATCTAATAGCTATATGGGTGCAAGTAACATAACTATAGGGACAAATAAATAACGTCATATGTGTCACTGTATCAACATGAACCCTTTTGTGGGACGGGCCACTTGGTATCCTTAAATTCGACGACGAATCTCGCAAATAACACGCAAAGTATTTGCTGCTATGCGTCTGCTGACACACGAAACTTCTTGATGTGTCATTTGGCGTTTTTTTCTTTCTGTTTTTTAGGAGGGAACGAAAAACGGGTATTAATTTTACCGGGACACACGGTCTCGGGTTTTTAACTGGAAACATGTGGACCACATATGTAGACACGCTCTTCATGGCATTCGTTTCTTTATCAAATGCGTCGGAAAAATTACGGGTTAATTGATGATCGCAGTGATCGGGGTATTTAAAACATCTTTGCCGCCGAACGCTTTGTATAAGGGCGGTGGGGGGTGAAGAAAGAGTATCTAATTTGGTGTGGTGATTTTTAGGGATCCGTTGCACCGTAAATTTCGTAATGTGTGGGTATTAATAATTGAAAGGTGGGGGGGGGGGGAATGACAAAAGATGTAGATTAAAATTACTAAATTCACTGACCTTTCATTTTTTGTATGTTTATAAGATTAAAATAATAAGTAAAATTATGGTTGTTTGGGCCCTATTTGTCAGTCATTGTTGTCTGAAATCTTGATCCTAACGTATATATACTTATTGCTTGGTAATTTCCTCCACTTATTATACTTTTCCTACTCCTGTCTGTAAAATACCTAATTAACCACCGGTCTAGCCTGTGGGAAGCGTCACTTTACCACTTCAGTTTCGTTTCCCATAAATCCGAGTCACTTCGGACATTTCCGGGATTTTACCTCACGGATTCGGGAACAATCGGATGTTTTCGGAGATATTTCCCACGCTTTGAATTTTGACGTTTGTCAATGTATTCGTGTTTTGCGAAAATGTACCCAAAAACTAACTGTCGTAGAAAAAGTCGCTCCGCTCGTGTCAAATAAACTCGTGAGTCTACCGCATAATCCTGCATATTAATTCGGAAAAAAGGCGAAAATAAAACAGATACAGAGTGATCCATTTGAAAATGTGAGAGAGATTTGGTTTAAAGTTTGTCAACTTGGCAAGATTTTAGAAAACCCGCAGTGTGAGATATTATTTTTGTAATCGTAGGAAAACATGTTTTTTGATATTTTCGTTTTTTGTCTAACCGTTTGGCAACATCGCATTGAAATCATATATTTTTTGGAGGAACAGTAATAAGAAAATATACACGATGTTATTTCACTGACGTATAATCTAATTAACATTTGGATGTGTTAAACCAGTGGCTCTAAAATATTAACACTGAAACAAATTATTTTTTGAAGTTTGAATTTGAAACATTTTTTGGCAAGCACGACCTATTGCAGACCTTACTGCTTCAGCCGATCGCTGTTATTATTTCGTAACGCCGAAAAATCCAGTAGGACGACAAGTATTTTGCGCAATCTTTCTCTAATATCTGGCTGAAATTATAATAACCAGTATTTTTGCCATTTGTCCCTCGACCTTGAGATTCATTCCTTAAATTATAGAATGTCATTTCAAAAGCACCCTGTATATAAGACGTTACATTTGAAGATATATGTTTTATTGCCACGTATTTATGTATTTATTTATTTATTCTAGCAAAGTACCGTAACATGACGAATTAACGTCACAAACTACAAAATACATTTGTCTTAATTCAAAAGAGTAAGCAAAACTATTTCTAAACCCAAAAAAAAGAAAAACAAAAATGAAGGTAGCAATAAATTTAATTTAGTCCGAGAGAAACGCTCTTATGGCTTGATTCCTACATGAATTCAGTGACAAAGCAAAAATATCTATGTGCAAATAATAACTGTTATAATTTATTTGCAAAAGAGATAAGTTGCTTAGTCATGGATAATTTGAAAAAAATAAACTTTATTTTTGAATGCTTTCAATTCTGTTTACATACTTATAGGGTACGACCATCGACTTTAGATCTTTAAATTCTCTGCTAACCCTTGGAATAAAACCAAACCCAAGGTTCTGTAAGTCTTTGTCATTATGTTCTCAATACGAATTTCTCCGAACTCTGTTTTGTCTCTATAGTTACCCCAAGATAGAGCTATATGATTTTTTTAATTTACTGAACTTGTCAATATTTAAAAACAGTCGATTTCCTAAGCGGTTGTCATAAAATCTATCAAAATGATGTCAATCCGATCTAAGATTGTGTACACCTATAATGTGTTAATTAAGTTTTTCTACTCCCGTCGGTAAAATACTTAATTACCCACCGATCTAGCATGCGGGAAGCGTCACTTTACCGCATCAGTTTCGTTTCCCATGAATCCGTGCCATTTCGGATATTTCCGGGATTTGACCGCAGGGAGATATTTCCCACGCTTTGAATTTTGACGTTTGTCAATTCTGACGGTCATGTCAGCGAATGTATTCGTGTTGTTTTGCGAAAAAATTTAAAATATCCTAAAAATTTCCGTTTTTGTGTGTAAATTATTGGCGATAAATGAAAAACCGTTCAAGGTGGGATAATTTTATTTGAACAGTATCGTAGACCGTGCCGTGAGAGAGTTTCAGATTTCGTCAATTATACAGGGCGCTTGTCAAATAAACTCGTGAGTGACACATATCTATTAAAAAAGATTACTCTCAGTGTATAAGAATATACAGAAATGGTCAATGGTCGAAGCGAATAGAAAATTACAGGGCAGTTGACGTATGTACGATTGTTTTTATTTATGTTATGATTATTATTATCTGTGGTTTTAAGTATTTTATCGCTGCAAAGTCAATGGTTTTTTTTTTCATTGCATGGGAGTGCAACGGTATTTATTACCGTATACACTTCAAAACTAAACCGAGTCGTTTTTTCTCTTGTGCGTACATCTCGCGAAGTGCTTCGTCCGTTCGCCGAAAGAGCGGCCGACGTTTTGGCCCCGTTCCAATCGCCGTCTTCAGATCGGCCGGATTAATCGAGCAGACGACACGACCTGGTCTCCCTGTTTAAATTAAATTCCACCAGGCGAGAAGATTTATCGCAATATTAATAGCACCGAAATTTATGTTCCAGTCTCGGGGACGTATATTATAACCGCGCGGATAATTACAAGTTTAGTTCAATTCCGCGTCCGCGAGCCGAAAATAGCAAAAAAAAAAACTCTCCGGATTGTAGATATTTGGAAAGTATTAACCAGATGGCCTGCGGGAAAAAATACCACAATGAGAAATAGACTTTAAATAATGTTGAATTCAGAGCACGGCCGCTAGATGGCGCAACTATAATGCGACTAAGAAAATGGGTTTTTAAGAAAACTTTGAATGAGGAAGAGGTATTAGAATCACCATAATAAAAGATATTGGTAAAAACATTAATAAATAGCAAAAAATTAGCCCTCAACTACCTTATTTGTAACCCTTTATCCGGCTTTGGAAGCAAATGACTCTCGAACGACCAATTTAAACGTCAAAATCTGATCGGGTCAATATTTTTACGGTCCCGTCGGCGTTTTTTTTCTCATTTGATTGACTTCAAATGCCTTTATTAGTTGATGAAAGTGCCATTGCGCTTTGCTTTGCTTTGGCCATGCGGCAAGTCCTACAAGGGTTTTTGCAGAACGCAGAACCAACACGTATCGTAGCTGCGCCTTACATTAACTGTTGCATACCTCAAAAGTCGTTTTTTTCAAACGTCTAACTGTTTAAGTAAATTAATCATGTATATGCATATAACTATTATTGCAAATACCATAGATTAAAAAAAAAATGAACTTGCAGTTTTCGCAGTCTTCCGCCACCACTTTAATTTATCAGATAAGGCGAAATGATTCAAACAAAAAAAAACTAAATTTGCTGAGGATCATGACGCCATTATTTCGAATACCTTAACCTGTTCAAAGTTTTGTCAAAATAGCATTTTCTGATTCACACTAGAAGTTTGGTGATATTTAAAGCTACTTTTCTATCTCACAGAAACGCTGTCAGCAAAATACGTGTATTATTCGCCGGTTTCTTTTCTTCCTTTTAGTGGATTCTTATTTGCAGAACTTGTCCGCCAGCCAGTATATCTGTGATCGACTGCATGAAATCGGCGAGTCCAAATATTCACCCCATCACGGTAAGCGATTTTTTACCCTATTTTTGTTTATTTTTTTACTCCTCTATTTGTTCGTTTTTTTTGTGTTATTGGCCACAAGCGTCTGGATCATTCTACCATTTTAAGTTATTAAAATTTACCACCGATACTAAAGGAAGATATGAGAACATAACCTTCAATCAAAATTATTGTTATTATATTATTGTATAAATTCAGAACTCGATCTAAACTGAAATTTAAAGTAAAAAGTTTAATGGCTCTTTGGCGCCTTCAGATGACATGCAACTCCACTAAACCATCAACATTAACACTAAAAAGTTAGCCGACTTTTAACTCTTCATTAATTTCTTATAGGTGAAATCAAATCATGTGCGTCACAAATGTCAGTTTTATCTGTTGGTTTTTAAAGCCCAAGCGTATAACTGAATAATAATTTTTTGATTATTTGCTATTTTCTGTAAGAGGCCAAAAATGGAATTAGTTAGTATAAAGAAGAATAACTTGGCAAGCTGTCATTTTAATTTTAATGGTTATTGCTTACGTAAATGTAATAGGAGGTTGCTTTTTTTATTATTTCTCAGTTTTTCTGGTTGTGAAAAATGTGTATGAAACTTAAATCAGTAGAGGAGTTATTAAACAACAAGCTTTAAAAGAAACCTGCCTCGTTACAATAATAATAGTATTATTATTATAACGAGTATTATATTGTTACCAAAACCTTTGGGAAGTCCAGTCCAGTACCAGATCCGAATTTTATTGCCGCCGACAGGCAACTTCCATAATTGCGGGCAGAAGCCAGCATGATGAAGATTGAGACAGACTATAATACTTCTAAAAAGGTACATACCGTACCAATATATGTTTTTGAAACGTTAAAAAAAAAGCCAATGCGGAAAAGGTAAGTTTTCCAAGTGCATGGACTAAACAATCATCATCAACGTAGACAATTTGCATTTGAAATGACTTCTGCAGAGCGATGGTACTACTATATAAAACTCAACATCAATATGTTCAATGAATGAAAATGAAAAACAAACTATTACTGTGTAGCAGATTATCTTGTGATGACTTATGTACCTAAGGACAGATATAATTTCGATAATTATACTCTACTTGTCTACCTAGTATTAAAAATGGTGCAGGAGCTTTAGCAAAAACTGTTGCAATTTCGCGATGAATATATCCGTCGCCGTTTCCCGTTAGGTTCGGGCATAAATTAAAAGCGGCGGTGGCTTAACATATGGACCGGTCGTTGTCTTAATAGCAATGACGTGTTCCAAAATGCACTTTCGGCACGTCCGATATCAAAACAGGCGGTTAGTTTGACAAATTGGGTCGGCCGGTATTTCTGTGAGAAATTGAGGATTTAAGATCCGGTCTTGGGAATTTAAGCACCGATGGATCATCGATGGCGGATGGTGGTACTCTGGCGACGTTAATAACCAATACGTGGTGTACGAAATGTGGCAGATATTTTACGATTTCGTCCGAGATTGCTTATAGTCTAAGAGCCAGTGGGCGGCTACCTGCATGTATTTGACCAGACCTGGGCTTTTGTACATCGAGGCTACTATACCTACTATACAATTTTAAATATATTTGACCACGGCTGCCGTTTTGAAATCTTAAAATATATTGTTATTATTATCGAAAAATAATAATGGCCGACCATTAGCAAGCGGTTAACATTACGGCAGACAGTTTTGAAAATGCTCAAAAAATTAAAATTTTGGAAGAATTTGACCAGATCTGCCATTGAGATATATTATTCGTTATAGTCTTAAAAACTTACATTAATAACGGCAGACGTTTTCATTGAGTACACTCCTCAGTAGGTAACAAAATCCTTACTACTACCCGGACATACACTGCATATAGCTATCTTTTTTCTTTCTCCTATGTATTACTATTCTACTCATTCGAGCTTATAATATTTTATTTTATAGCTACTACCACTTAAAAAAATTAGGGTTTATACCTGAGATGGCTCTGTTATAATCCCAACCTAACGGTTTTTGTCAGACGTTTTCAGTATGTTTGTGAATCTCTATCCAGATGCCTCGTGTTTAGTGAATTTAATAAAATACACAATGGTGCTTTATGTTATTTTTCTTTAATTAAATTATTATTCGTTAAATATCTCTGACATTATGTCGAGTGAAAAAGAACTAGTGAAGTATGGTTTTTGTACCACAGCAGAGGCTGTTGACAAATTTGGAGGTTATAAAAACATATAAATTAAAATACAATGAAATAATTCTACCAGACGAAATTTTTGATTCTGTATATCACAGTAGTTGTTACAAAGCGTTTACGGCTTAAAAAAAAATGCAACCGATCTCAACAAAGAAGCTGTATTACAACCCACTACGTCGTCGTCTGCAACTGAGCAACCATAACCATTAGCTCAATAACTGATCATGCATTAGCACTTGATAATCTTGTAAAAGACGTAAACGTTTCTGAGACCGATGAAGTCGTAGAAAAAGATATTGGCGCTGAATTAGATCAGTTGTTGGAGAAAGGACCCTCTGTAGTACCGTGAGTAGTTACAAAGCTTCGGATGTGAACGAAAATTTTACTAAAAAATACACAATTTTGACGCAACCTCAATACTACCATGCAAGAATGAACTCTACTAACAGCTTCTGAGAGCCCATTACATTTCAACTATTTGGAAAAACGCTTACAAAAAGCAACCTTCAACCTTGGACCCATTGTAGTATGGTTGGCTTGAGCAGGACAACACATTTGTCTTTAAATGGTTCGATGGAGATATCAACTTCCATCTTTTATTAGCGACTTAATTACTAATATCCCTGGTAAGTTGATAAAAATTAATTCTTGATCAAATATATTCGGTTCAATTTACTAATTATTTATACTTTACAATTTACGGTTTATTTTTACATAGTCCGATTCAATGGACTATGAAGAAGAGTGAACCTACGACAAACATAACTACGACACCTTTCAAATTTTGTCTTAAATAAATAAAAAAAAATGAAATACAGAATTGAATTGTTTTTTGTTACTTGCATTATACCACAAAATTTCAGATTATTTCGTAATATATCTACTTCATTTATCAATCTTATAAAGTTTAGTATATAAAGTACAAAAAAAGTATTACTTTCTATACATATAGTGATAAAATTAATTATAAGTGAACTAAATTTATGTAAAACAGCGATCGTAATAGATACATAATAATACATCTGATCGGATAATAGTAAATATTTTGTTATCTAGTGAGGAGTGTACTCAATAAAAACGTTTTTAAGACCATAACGAATAATATATCTCAATGGCAGATCTGGTCAAATACTTTCAAAATTTTATTTTTTTGAGCATTTACTATTTTTGGATAATAATAGTAATATATTTTAAGATTTCAGAACGGCAGCCGTGATCAAATATATTTCAAATTCGCCAAAAATCAATAACTGTCTCACCTGCGCAGTACCTGGGTCCGCCGCTTTGGGCTTAGTGGGTCCCCACATCATGTATAGTAGGTATGGGGGCCTCAGTGTACAAAAACCCAGGTCTGGTCGAATACACGCAGGTCGCCGCCCACTGGCTCTTAGACTATTAGTTGGGCTTGCTTCGGTGATGTCCATGTTATATAGAAAATAAATTAAGAAATGGTTGAAATAGTTTACTTGAAATGTTTGATTCGACTTTACTTAAATTACCATTTATTTGTTAATATTCTTCAGTAATTAATTAAAAGTGAAATAAAAAAATATCTGCTTCTAATTAGAAAAAATGTGTAGAACACGTCATCTAAGAAGAAAATGTTTACAGAAGTCGAGTAGTGCCAAAATTAATTATTAGTGTGAGATACGAGTCCAATGACCATGTGAAAACACTAGCATTCATTTATCTTTATAATAAACATTTTAAAGTAAGAATGGATTTTTCACCGTTCACCATTATTAGTACATAATAATATTCGAGAAATTTCACCGATGCTTTCAACATTTGCATTCACAAAGTACCGAACTGCGGTTCTGTAACGCCATTGTGGAATTGCAAATATATTTCTTGAGGGTCACGAAAAGAAACCCAAGTGAGGTAGGCTTGCGGTTAGACTTTCATAAAAATTTACGAAAGTTAAATACCGGATTATGTCGTAAAATCGGTATATCGCTCGGCGAACTATATCTTACCTTATTTTCATCCACAAGTGAACGAAATTTTAATAGCATTAGTAAAGAATAAAACATTAATAAAACTAAAACAAAGTTGTAAATTTTATTCCCATAGTATGGATGGACGAAGCCAGAACGTTATAGACGACGTCAAGATCTGGACCCGGCCTGTTCGAAACATAGCGGGCCGGTCGGCTATGGCTTTCACGGGCCGCATCGTCGTCCCCCGTGTTTTGAAAATGGCCCGTCACTTAAGGAACGATATTTATGGTGTTTATGAAAACCGATTACTCGGGATATTTTGACAGCGATATGCCCGAAATAAAATTTTTGTCGCCCGCTCTCAGCCTTTTTTCTTTTATTTTCCGAATTATTTTCGGATTAACCGTTTATTTATAATCCATTTAGTTTCGTTCGATCCGTCGACGTGACGGAATGGACGCCTAATAGACCCGACGACGGATCAGTCGGGATTTTCGACGACTGAGTATTAAATTAGTTTTTACGTAATTTTTTCGAAATGTCGCGGCGTTGCCGTTTGTTCAATTTATTGTAATATAAAAAGTTGAGACTTATATTTGTCGACAATTAAAAATTGAAATATTTTAGCAAAGGCAATGTAATCAAGGTGTTTTTAAAATAGAATACTCGTTTGAACGCTTGGGATTTATTAAAATGTAAAATACAAAATATAAAACTATCGAGTTTTTAGACTAACGGAAAAAGAAATGTCTGCAGAGAGTGTTAAATGCCAACTGCCGCATCTTTCCTCTTGGGTCCTTAGCGCGCCCGACGTAACTCGACACCCACTTGATAAAACCTCCATATAGGTTTTTTTTTCCCAGGTCGATTTCGTCGAGTCTTACGAATATTGTCGATAACAGCAATAAAATGTTTATGCGCAATTATATGAAAATTGATTAAAAATGTGGTATAAAGAAAGACAGACTGAACTGATAAAAATATAGGTAATTACTCACAGATTCAACATCATTTTCAAATACTTAGTACATTATGAAACAAGATTGCTTTCGAAAAATCGTCACTGGGCGGGAAAAGGAAAGGCCATTATGTAACTTTCACAAAATCGATGTAATTTAATTGTCCTTCACATCTCGGCAAACGTCAAAGTTACAGCAAACATCGGTAAAATTATCCCATCTTTAACGGTTTTTCATTCATCGCCAATAATTTACCCACAAAAACGGAAATTTTTAGGATATTTTAAATTTTTTGCTCATAAACGACACACTCTGTATATGATACACTCATTGTTCGAAGTAGAGGTGGATTTTCCACGCGTCCTGGTTTAAGTATTTTTTGAAAATAGTAAATGCTTTTTGAGAAAATAAGTTTTTTGCTGAAACCATGGAGTGATTTCAATATGGATTTTTTTAAATATTCCGAGCAGCGTAGACGAAAACCGCAAATACAAAAATTGTAGCTCTTGATGCGGCCTATGACACCGTTTGAACCAATTAGCCATATTTTTTTACGATTTTTGGATATGCGGCTAATAATTTACTCTGTAAAAGAACAATTTTCTAGGTCTTTTTGAAATCCCTGTATATAATCGAAAAAATTCCCGCAATAAATGTTATTACACTGGAGCTTCTGAGTCTTCCGGTTATAGAATATTATGCCACAAGTGCGGTAAACGTCATTTGACTCACGTGTTTATTTGACGCGAGCGGAGCGCAGCGGAGCGAGTTTTCAATAAACGAGTGAGTTAAAAAGTATACCGAACGTGTTGCATGCTGTAGTTTTTCTACAACCGTTAGTTTTTGGGTACATTTTCGCAAAACAACACGAATACATTCGCAGTCATGACTGTCAGAATTGACAAACGTTAAAATTCAAAGTGCTTTAAAATCCCGGAAATGTCCGAAGTGACTCGGATTCGTGGGAAACGAAACTGACGTGGTAAAGTGACGCTTCCCGCACGCTAGATCGGTGGGTAATTAGATATTTTACAGACGGGACTAGAAAAAAGTTTTCTTCTACTCCCGTCTGTAAAATACCTAATTACCCACCGATCTAGTGTGCGGGAAGCGTCACTCATATTAACCATTGTTAACATGAATTCTGTTTTAAAGCGAGTGACTGAATTAGTTATTACATGTAATATTTAAACCGGGTAAGAATGAAGAAGGTATTGCAAAAAGATGTAATTAGTGATAATATCAAAGTAATAAAATAAATAACAACATTTTATTGTGATGTTAAATATCAACTGTTTTTTAGTTGTACGTTCTTTTATTCATATTTTAATTTAGGATAAATATATTGAGATACGGTTTACACAGGGTTGCTGGGCCATTATTTGGACATCTAAAATCATACATTGCATTTACTTTCTTGTCAATTTTTTTTTGCGATTATATCACGATTGATAGTCGACTACTTTATTAAAATACCAGTTTATTAAAGAACTTTAAGCATTTTGGAGTCCTGTCAGTACTTTCCTTGCAGATATAGATCAATCAACATTAAACAAAAAAGTCTAAATTTATCTCAGTCACTCTAACTATGGTTAATATTAGAATTTTTTCTAGCAAGCGAGGTTTAAAATTCAAGATAGCAATTACGCCCTCTGGTGGCAGTTTCAGCACCTAGTCATGACCGATTCATTTTTTTTTTAATTTATTGGAACATTGCCCTTACTGAGACACTCGGTATATAAAGAGGATCCGTTTTAAAGCATCTGGCAGAGATACGAACGTTACGTCTTTCCCATACCAAAACGATACCGCGAGGAGTTATATTTTGAGAGGTAGTCCGTGATTTTTTCCCAAACCTCTGGATCAGGCGTTTCCCGGGTCTCGCGCCACGCCCTTCCCCGAGAGTGTTCTATTGACATTTCTTACTGATTTCTGGGATTAGAATATTATATTTAACGCGACTAGTTTACGGGCGTCGCCGATGGAATTCTATAACCTTTTTTTTAGACAAATAAAATGCGCAACTGAAATTAGTCACGCAGCATCTTCAACTAAAAAAATAAAATAAAGCAAACATTTTCGGATTGATAAAAGCGATGTTATTAAGCTCCTTTTGTCCGAATACTACATTGTTAAATTTTCTGCTCGCATAGTTATTTGATATGAACCACATTCACGAAAATTATACGGGGTGGTTCACACACGCGCATTTCCAGTAAATTTTTCAGTTGCTCGGCAAAATAAATGTTTCATATTTCAATACTGAAGAATAAAATAGCGGGTATTTTACTAGAATCTGGTCTAGACAATTATTTAAAAAATCTACAGAAAGTTATAATTGGTAAATTATTATTGCATTTACTGGGTGTTTCGTAAAACTATCCGTTAATTTCTAGGGTCAATAAAATATTGAAAGATGAAAAAGACCACAATATTTTATTTTTCATGATTTTTGAAAGGGTTTAAAGTACCTAAATGAAATTTAGTTAATCTTTGGGTGTGCTGACATTTTGTACGGGAACGGCGTTGAAGGGGGTGGGGTGCCAATTATTTTACCACCGAAAAAAATGGCTCCTTCTTGAGCTATTTGATCGTCTGGCAAATAATACTGACCGAACTAATAAATTATTTTAAATAGTTTTCACAACGAAGTAATTGTGAACCTAACTTTTGGCAGCAGTAACTTTTACGATCCAGTCAAGGGTAGTCGCGGTCTCAATTTCATTGAGGTATCTTGAAACGTTTCAGAAATATTTTATATTTTTTGGGGCCCCTTTTATAGAACCGCATCTTCTGAATCCGGTATTGCCTGACACATGATTGTTTAACCAAATTATAAACTTTTTTTGAAACACCGTTAATGACAAGTCTCAAGTTAAATTAATTAGTGAAGAGCGATTGGTGCGAGAAAGGGTATAATTGAAAGCGAGACAAAATGATTAGCAGTGGCCCTCGTGGCATCTTCTTAGATGGTTCCTACTCCCAATGTCGACAGTGAACGCGGTGTTGCCAAATTAGTGATTTTGACTTTCCCTGAAACCTTAGAATCGATCAATTTGTTGGTATATTATCGGCGATCACTAGATTTAACGTGATCAGTAGGTAGGTAGGTATAATCTTTCTAGTTTCCTTTTTATTTTTTAATGTATTTATAAGATTTTTTTATGTTAGCAAAATAGAAATTAGAAAACACGGAGAAGACAGAAGAAACAACAACGGAAATAGAATATTGGATTGCATAATTTAATTATCGCAAATGGCTTTTATAAACATAAAGATATCCATGTTTTGAAAAACTGCTCAATTCAGAAAATAAAACGAACGACAAAAAGACAGAATACGAAGGTATAACAAACGAACAGACAGAACAAAATGAACCGCTTATAACGAGAGAAGAATTAGTTGAAACTGTTTGAGAAAACAGTTGCAAAGAGACTACGATCAAAAGTAGAACCAACTCTAACCGAAACGCAAAGTGGATTCCGGAAAGGCGGAAGCACCCAGGATCACATGTTTTCGAGAGAATTGGCAAGATCTAAAACAGTATACGTAACATTCTTAGATATGGAAAAAGCGGATAAAAGTCTGAAAAAGCCTAGAAGCCGGAAAGGCTGACAATAAGCTATTAAGAGTTATCAAATTTTTATAGGGGGTGTGTTTTTTCGATGTATAGAACTTTAAGTTGCAATAAAACAACGATGGATTATTCGATTGACATGAATTTGACTGAATGAATCTGGACGTCCAATTTTCGATTACTTTTTCCAACATTTTTGGCCGTATATCGGCAATAACACGGCAAATGTTGTCTTCCAAATGGTCAAGCGTGTGTGGATTATCCGCGTAGACCAATGACTTTACATAGCCCCACAGAAAGTATTCTAGCGGTGTTAACTCACAAGATCCTGGATGCCAATTCACAGGTCCAAAACGTGAAATTAGGTGGTCACCAAACGTGTCTTTCAATAAATCGATTGTGGCACGAGCTGTGTGACATGTTCCGCCGTCTTGTTGAAACGACATCTTCTGGACATCATGGTTATTCAATTCAGGAATGAAAGAGTTAGTCATCATAGCTCTATACCGATCACCATTGACTGTAACGTTCTGGCCATCATCGTTTTTGATTCCACCAGCCAATAAAGCGCACCAAACAGTCAGTTTTTCTGGATGTAACGGTGTTTCGACACACCCTTGAGGATTAGCTTCGCTCCAAATGCGGCAGTTTTGTTTGTTGACGTAGCCATTCAACCAGAAGTGCGCTTCATCGCTAAACAAAATTCGCTTATGAAAATCGGGAACAACGGCAATCTCGTTTTGGGAACATTCGACGAATCTACGCCTCACTTGATGATCGTTTGGCTTCAATTCTTGCA